CATCCAGTTATTTTAGCCGGGCCGGCTAAAATGATTGGTCATGCTTTTTACAGTACCACGGCTTCCACAGATGACATTTTTTTTAATGGATTTTTTGTCAAAGCACTTAAGATATTCATTGCTATCGGGATGTTAAGAGCATTCCATGGAATATAACAAAAAGTGTATCTCGAGCCGGTTTCTCAAACTTACCTACCCCACCTTTAAGGATGGTGAAAACACACATTTCAAACATACTTCTCTGCTTTGAGATGCTCATATTCACAGATATTGATTGAACTTTCGTAGGCCAAAGAACAAACATGAAGTAATCCTAAATTAAGGTAGTGGTCCCCTTTAAGGAATCGTGTTGCTTGTGTGTTTCAGAAGGTCTAAACAAGAGTGAGGTGAGTAACCATTTTATAATTCATCACTTTTAGTGTTGATTAAATTGTTCACCTCTAACAGCTGTTCTAATGACTGTATGGTATGTTCTTACAGTCTGATTACTGCGAGGAAAATACAGATGGTGCTTCTACTCACTATGCAGTGAGGCTGCAGGCTCTAGAAGCAGGTGCTGATCCAGAGTCTAGTATTCCCGACGCCTCGTAGTACGCTGCTGTCTATCAGGCACTGGATCCAAAAACTGTGGACTGAGCAGGATTTATTCCTTTGAGCTGACGACTAAACTCAACCTCTTCTCTGTATGTTACGTTAAATAAAGGACAAGTGTTTAACTATATTTCTGTACTATATGTTTTACTTTCTATGTGTCATTTTGTAAATGTGTAAGTAAATGTGTCAGTTAAACTGGGTTCAGTTAAAGTATATCTAATCTGATCCAATTTCTTGCAATGACAATCATGATGTTCTTGTGGGGGATTGCAATGGCCCTTCCCACACTTCCTTCCCTTTACTTCCGGTCCCCTTGCTCGGGCAACACCTATCTTGAAACCCAGCCTTCACCTTTTATCTCATCTACATACCTGCAAAGTCACACCCAATCAAGCCAGGGGAGTAACATGGCGTTGTGGCCCCCTTCCTCCCCTTGCTCGAAACATGCCTATCTTCTAACTTGACCTTCAGTTTGATCTCCGCTATATGTGTGTAAAGTTTTCGTCCTGCATCTTGTTTCATGGCCACAAAAATATCTCTGTAGACAAACAGAGAAATACAGACACCTGGAAAGGTACTCAAATCAAATTCAGTGGTAGTTCCTTGAGCACTTTTCGCCATGATGACAAACTCCAACGCCTAAAGCAATGTTTCAAACTGCATGGAAAGCACTACTGGATTTAGTACATCCTTGTCAGAGAGTACCTTTCTGGAGGTTTGGGATCCTCTGCTTTATACAATTCAACTATAGTGTTGGGGTAAGACCTGCAGAGGGTGCTACAGTACACACAAGCTATGATTCAACATGTCATCTTTGCCTTTCCCTATCTTTCACAACCCCCCATGACAGCTCATTGACCATTATTCCTTCAGAAACATTAAATACCTGGTCTTAAAGAGCGAATTTAAAACACTAACAAAGATTGTTGTCACCCATTTAATTTTTTCTTTGTGTATTTTTGTTATGTTGGTGTAGGCCTCAATTTTATTGTTGTTCCTTCAGTTTAATTAAGATTATTAATTGCATGTAGTTTATTTTGGAATTTGGAAAGAACAAAATGAAAACACAAAATTAATTGTAGATATTTAGTTTTCATCAGATGCACCAGTGTTTATGTTTACCAGAACTATTTTCATGTTTCAATTGATGTACTAAAGCCGCTGCTAGGTGTAATTGGTTACCTTGAGTCAGAGGGTTAACTGTTACTTCCAGTTTCCTGTCTTTATGCTAAGCTAACAGTAAGTAAAACTTTATTTATATAGCACCCTTCTCAACACAGATGTACAAAGTGCTTTACAGTACAGTACCCGGGTTGTGCTGTGAGGGTGGATAAGGTCATTAATGTAGGCTGGGGCTTAGCCATGGACAGCTCTATATGTGAAGACCAATACTTTGAATTGGGTTCTGAGATGGACAGGGAGCCAGTGCAGGGCGAAAGGATCGGAGTGATATGGCATGTTTTTTTGGATCGAGTGAGCAATCTGGCTGCAGCATTTTGGACCTGTTGTAACCGGTTTATTGATGTTTTGTTGAGGCAGGCAAAAAGAGCATTGCAATAATCAAGCCGGGATGAAATAAAGGCATGGATAGCCATCTCCATTTCTGCGTTGGATAGAACCCCCCTGAGCTTGGCAATGTTCCTGAGATGGAAAAAACAGGTACGGGTCAGGAGTTTTATGTGTTTGTCTAGTAGCATAGACTGATCGAAAGTTACACCAAGGTTTTTTATGTTTGCCCTAACACTACCACTAAATGAACCCAGGTGGCTTGCTACCTTAGAGGCGATGCTATCAGCCGCTAAGATCAAGACTTCCGTTTTCGATGCATTGAGCTGTAGGAAGTTGCTTGACATCCACTCCTCAATTGCAGACAGACATGTGATCAGGGTGTTTACATTTTCCATTTTGACAGGTTTGAAGGAGAAGTATATCTGGATATCATCTGTGTAGCAGTGATACGAGACACCCTCAAATTGGCTAATTAAGCGGCCCAATGGGAGCATGTACAGGGCAAAAAGAAGGGGGGCTAAAACAGAACCCTGGGGCAGGCCGCAGGATAGGGGAGTGCTATGTGATGAGAACGGGCCCACCGCCACGGAGAAACTTCTCCCACTGAGGTACGAGGCAAACCACTGGAGGGCAGACCCTGAGATGCCTACACACTCCCTGAGTCTATCTAGCATGATGGCCTGGTCCACTGTGTCAAACGCTGCACTCAGGTCCAACAACACCAGAACCACGCAATCGCCTGCATCCGATGCCATCATGATGTCATTGGAGACCCTGAGGAGAGCTGATTCTGTGGAGTGGTGTTTTCTGAAACCTGATTGGAATTTGTCATGGATTTTATTGTCATTCAGAAATGTATTGAGTTGATTAGCAACAACTTTTTCTAAAACTTTTGACACAAATGGGAGCTTTGAGATGGGCCTGTAATTATTCGGGAGGGAGGGATCTAGATTGGGTTTTTTGAGAAGGGGCTGAACAACCGCCTGCTTAAAAAATGATGGGACGGAGCCAGAGACAATGGAGATGTTTATAATGTGGAGCAGGGGTGGAGCGACACATGAAACAACTTCTTTTAGCATGGACGTTGTAACAGGCTTCTGGCTATAGCCTTGCCTACAGTATATTAACTCCCTCACAGAAAATATCTACTACTAATGATATATTATATACTATTGCTTTAAACTTTAAATAAAGCAGTTTAATGTTAACTATTAATTATTTATTATAAATAAACTTGCCTTAACGTCACAGGACATAAAAGTGATTCATAATGTGACCCTGTCTAAATGCATGTAGCTAAAATACTTAATGAGTGCACTTTAGTTGCGCTGATAAGTGGGATTCCAATGGCAAATACCAACAGGTGGCAGATGTGGAGTGACCTTACAGTTAATGAGTCATTGCATTTTAATCACCTTTAACAAGTGTGTAGCTGAAAGACTAGTGTGTAAACTCATGGATATTCCACTTGTGGGCGAATATATATATAAAAAATAAAAAAAAGGTTATCTGCACAATGGAACTTACAACAGCAGGTTAACATTTTCAACAATAGAAACAGTGCGAGCTTGAGGAACATAAAAAGAAGAAACAAAAGAACATAAACCAAATGAAATAAAATACCTTACAAATTAAGTTTACTTACTCTAGTGTACAGAAACTCTTACCATTTTAAGAGTTTCTGTATTGTTTTAGCATGTCCAGGTAAGATTTGTAAGTAGGACATGAAGACAGTTAGGGTTGGATTTCTGTTTTGTATGTATAAAACTATAAAACGGATGACACACATTCTCTTGACAGACATTACATCATCAAAAATGTTTTATTCAATTTTCGAGATTGGGTTTATTATAAAGTTTTCTGTGTATAGTAATATCATACCAAAAAGTCTGACTACAGGTACTGTCCCAAAAAGGACGACTTAACTGTGGTGAGTTTAGTAACAGAGAGGGTAAACATTTAATCTATACACTTTACAATTACGGAATTAACTGGATTACACCGTGCAAGATTTCCGAGACATCCTTATTTGGAACAAAAAATCAAAAAATCAAAAATGTTCTGGGTAATAACCATGCGTGCAAAGGATGAACAAATCCTTGTGGGCAGAGGTGTCGAAACAACAGAATGACTCTCACTTCTCTCTGACTGTTTCGCAGCCTCCCTGGAAATGTTGTGACTCTGCCTGCATCTGAGCACGTATTACAGTTCACAAGACTTGTGCATAGGTCTGAAAAAGTGTGAAGACTACATAAAACTAATTTTCTTAATAATTATATTTTGTTTAATCTTTACAAAACCAAGGTATAAAATGGACAATTCAAGTTAATTTCAGTCAGATCCATGCTAGCTATTCCAACATGTTCATGCTAACCTAAGCAAGCTTTTGATTAGCCGCATAGACATGAATGTCAACCTTCTTGTCCACGCTTTTTGATAATCATTCTGAAAGTATAAAACCATGCCAACTAATGTGGGATTTCTGTATAACCTAAGGAGTGAGGCCTTTCACTTCAATCATTTGATACATCTCTATTATTAAATGTAGCTTACATTTGTGCCAAGGCAACTACAACTATTCAGTACTACCCAATACTCTGAATAGTTCATCAATATATCAATATAAGATATGAAGAAGCAGCGTGCATTATTGTATATCAATGACATAATATCAGTGATGGACAGTATGTATTTTATTTTAATCTTTTGCATTACATTCACCTTTATTGCTAAATACACATAATTGATAGCGCTTAAAGGAAGTGTTGAAATGCATTGGAGAGAATGGTCCTCTCGCTTTACCTTAGTCCATGTTTATCTTCTCTTGGGTTTAGTGTCATGTCTACACCCCCTCGTATGCTCTCTAAACCACAGGAAGTAGGTGCACAGTTGAGAGCTTACATACAGTAGATATAATCTTATTTGCAAAAGGCTGTGCAGTAGTGGAACATGATGAAACATTTAACCACTGCTTAGTCTATATTCAAAAATAGATTTCAAATCAATTTCAAGATCCAGGAGAGACCAACCAGAGTAATACAACTGCAGAGCTGACCCTTTTCATTCAGAATGAATACCTTTTATGCCTTGTTTTTTCTTCTACATGGTGAGTGTTTTTATTTAAATCCTCTAGTAATGTATCCAAACAACTCAAATATGCTTTAACTCTTGTTGCATGATTTTATTTTGGCAGCTTCTGGGATAGAGGGAGCAGCAGAGATCAATGTAGAGGGATTCGTGGGGGGAGATGTCTCATTCCAGTGTTCTCACAAATTCGCTTTGAAGATGACTAAATACCTCTGCAATAATGCATGTAAAGGAATTGAAGATAGACTGGTTACTGTACAGTCTGGTGCAGCAGCCGAGTCGGGAAGGATCACTCTGGTGGACTCAGGGGCCGGAGCCTTCTCCGTGACCTTCAGACAACTCCAGCTGTCAGACATGGGGACATACTGGTGTGCGGTGGAGAGGTTCGGTTTTGACACATACACTTCAGTACAGCTTACTGTTAATGAAGGTATGTGCGTTATCTTATCATTCATATCTTTAACATGTGTCCTTACACTGATATATTTTTTTATTTTTTTCTCTGCATTCATGAACACACATTTGTATTATTATGGATAGAATGTAAGAAAAGGTGTGTTTACTTAATTGCTGTACTTACAGTGAGTACATTTATGAGGCACTTGTACTTAACGTAAGTATGCTACTTTATTCATAAACTACACCACATCCACTACATTTCAGGAGAGAATATTGTGTGTTTTTTACTCTACATCTGAATCCTGGGGAATAATTATTGCACAACTGTCCCCCATACAGGTGTTACAAATGAGACAAGAACTGTCAAACCTGAACTTTCTCGCACATGGACATATGAGAATATGTCCAACTCAACACAGTTAACATCTGTAATGGACACCAGTAACCCTGCAATACTTTCAGCAGGTTAGAAGAAAACTTCACTTTGACTTCTTACACATATATATAATATGTTAAAAAAACTTTTTGAAAGAAATATCTCATCTGACCTTACAGCCACCAACAACAGTAATGGAGGAGAACAGAACGTCAGTACAGGTGGGTTTCATTTTGCATGTCTCAGCTGGAGAATGATGCTTGTGGAAATGTAAAGCGCTAAGCCATCTCTCTTGTACTTTTGTGTTTTTTAGGCACCGTTTTGTTTGCTACAGTTGGGACACTAGGCATGCTCACAATTGTGATGCTGGCATTGATCATCAGGAAATGTAGAGAGAGTTCAAAACCTCAACCACGAGTTGGCTTCAACTGCGGAGACCTCTTCGGTGCAGACAAAAGAAAGGTATGAGAAACAAACTCAACACGTCAGGATGTCTAATAGCAAAACAACTGTCTTCCTAGAGAAACATGACAATTGTCTTGACAGTTGGTTACATAAAGTTGACAACGATCAGGTTTCCTTTCCTGATTTCAGAGGTCAATGTACAACCAGGGGTTTTCCAAAATACTTTCTGCTCCAATACGCCATCACAACCCATCTCATACAAGAAGATGGTTAGCTTTTTGCAAGCTTTACAGGAGCTGATGGGTTTCTCCTGCCTTTAGTCTCTACGCGCACTTGTATAGCATATGTTTTACTGAGAAAAATGTGCACAGAGACACAGTTCAATTCCCCACAGTATAGTACACAATATGCTAATTCTTTAAATAACTTTGCCACTTTTCAGCAGGCCAACTGTGAGAACAATGAAATTGTTGAGCAAGAGAAGTCGTTGAAGAACACATCTCAGAGGCTCTCCTGTACTCAGCACCCAAAGATGGATCCACCAACGTCTGCTTCCACAGCACCTGACTTTCATACATATGAGAACATTTGCTGCTCCAAAGGCACTGCACATTCAAGATTCTCCCCAGCAAACAACGGAGACGAACAATACGCCAACACTGTGATTTACATCAAACCATTACCACCTTTATCTGGAAGAACTGTCAAGGGCTGTCTTAGAAAACCCACAAATGAACCCACAGAAACTACAAATGCCAAAGACCAACCTACAGAGAGCTGTACAAGCAATGCACCCACCTGTCAGTCCCGCGCAGTCACAGAAGTGAGGCCAGGATCACTTTGGTTTGGGTTGAATTTATCAAAAACAGAGTGAGTTAGTGTGAGTATGATTGGGATTTTAAAGTTTTGACATTAATAGACAACTGAGCTGTACTTTCTAATCTGCTTCTAAAGTGTTAACCCACATTCATCTTTCAAATAAAGCTGGTTCTGTCTTTTTATTATTTCAGAGACAAACAAATAAAAATCATCTTCAGCCTTTTTGTCCATTTGCAGATACTTCAATAAAATACAAATATTTGATTACAAGGCGTAACTGTGTGAGTTCAACAAGATTCAAAGGTTACAGCGGAGACAGTTTCTGCACAATCCTAGCACGACAAGTTTGTATTTTCTATGATTTCTTTTAACTACTGCCATATTTATGGAGCATTGACACTTTCTTTCAATTACAGGGAACTGAGTACATGGCTAAGGCTATCTCATTAGCTAGCATTAAGAACGTGGACACTGCAGTTAACTCTGTTTTATATTTATTTCAAAGAAGTTGTAAAAAAAGTAATAAAGAGTATTTTCTATGGTCTTTAGAAAGTAAGATTCTGGGGAACTCTATAGTCCATAGGGCAGTATAATATAATAGTGTTTATTTGGTCAATGTAGTGTCTTCAGGTGACAAAAGTAAGTGTGCAGGTTTTTATGATTGAAGGTAGACCGTGTGGGATGGAGAGGGCTGATGCTAAGTGTGTTAAACTGGTGACTCCTAGTGGTCATTATTATCAAAGACACTCTGAATAATGACACTACTCACCAAATTATAATTTCCGGGACATTAATGTTAACATTTTTAAACGTTTGTGTGTACTATGGGGCAGCATATAAAGGAACAATATTTTATAAAGATGGGAAATGAAAGGATGATGAAGGCTTTCTTTCAGCCAGAATGATATACTATTTAATATTGTATATAGTTCTGTCTAACCAGCATTTCTACCATCCATTTCAGCTCCTTTATTATGATATATTATTTTATATTATATAATGATACATTATTATTATTAGACTTCATGATGTATTTCTTATGTGGGGCATTTGGTTCGGAATAATACATCTTTTAGTCTCCTCCATAATAATAATACAAATAAAACACTCCAAATGCTTGCCTTTCATGGCATTCCTTTTATATATAAGTTGCTTTAATAGCTTCAACCTTGAATTATATTTCACCTTTCACAACCTTTTAAACATGTTCTCATTAAATATAACTCTTCATATCTACATGAACTTGTCAGTGGAATACATAAAAAAAGCATTGCAGCCTTTTGTTACACAGAATAATGTTATTAATAGTTCATGTTCAGACGAAACCATAACAGGTGCTAATTTTGATTAAAACATACTTTATATAAAGGTTTATAAAATGTGAGGACAACAATCTACCTCCTGAGCCACTGCCGCTGAATATAAACGTTGACATTTATGAATTTCTGGCTGCACTTGAGTCTCTTCACTCTTTGGATCCACCCAACCCATCATCATTTTACATTCATGGGCTGAAAGTTATGTGGTGAAATGTTTTTTACATGAAAGAGGAAGAGGTTGACACACATGGACATGAAAGCACCAGACAGAACACACAGACACTTTTTATTCCAGGTTGCTGTCTCATTGTGAAGAAGTTGAGCGTGTGGACTGAATGTAAACCGAGAACGATGGGAGCGACGTGGATCTCGTGGAGAACAACTACAACCGTGTTCATCACTCTTTTACAAATCAAAGGTGGGCCGCTATGCTTTAGGTATTTCTAAGCTGATGAAATAGTCTTTAAATGAGTCAAAACCAAAATGTAAACACTTGGTTACGCAGCTAACAATGATTTTGTGTCACTGACAGCTCTGATCAGTGTCCAGACTACAGTTACCGGTGTGGAAGGCCAGACGGTTGAATTCAAATGTGAATATGAAGATGGCCATAAGAGCAAAGTTAAATACTTCTGCAAGGACAATGATACGATCCTGATACAGACAGAAAAAGATGTCCAGTCGGTGAGAAATGGACGTTTTTCTCTTTTCGACAACACCACCGGATCCTTCTTCATCGTGAGGCTGGACAAACTCACCTCAAGGGACAGTGGGACGTACAGGTGTGGGGTGGACTCACTGCTGATCATAGAGCTGAAAGTTTCCCAAGGTACAGTATATTATGGCGTCGTATAGGATTACTATTTTAACTGCTGGTGGTCTTCAGCATGTACAACCAAAATTATATTTTTTGGTTAGTGCTTCACAATTATAGATAATCGATAGCTAACCAGACAAATGTGATATAGTTTCTGTACACCTGGTGATCTGGAATCGTCGGGCCACATACCATAAATGAGAACTAAGTACTGATACCTTTCTCACACATGTTCCTTTAAAAAAAAAGGATTTCTATTTCTGTTAAACACACACACACACACACACACACACACACACACACACACACACACACACACACACACACACACACACACACACACACACACACACACACACACACACACACACACACACACACACACACACACACACACACACATACTGTTATAACTTATTATAACTGAATGTAACTGCTTTTTTGTTTTCTTTTATATTGCTACCCTTCAACAACAGCACACTTTCTCAAACAACACGGTAAGTAAGATCATAATATAGCAGTTACCTCTGTGTCTGTTAATTGTATTTTCTGTATATTAATACTTTGTTTTTGTTTGTGTTTTCCAGTTCCTGTATCAACCATACAACCAAATCACCGTAAAGTGGACAGTGAGTAATGTTTGTGTGTTCATCTGTTCTCATAGTGCGCTATAGCGCTCGTAATGATGTGTGTGTGAGTCCTCCAGATAAACATCAGTGGTTCTCTCCTGCAGAGTTCCACCTGCCGCTGTTTGTGACTGCAGCTATGTGTATGGCAGCGTTGCTGTTTATATGTCTGTTTACACTTTGTCTTCGCCTGGCTGTTAAACACCAAAGATCCAGCCCACGCCAAAAGAGAGAGGTTTGTCAAAAACTTAAAGGAGCCCTTTTATACATTTTTGGGTTTCCCTTTCCTGTAGTGTCTTATATTGTTTGTTTTTGCATGTAAATGGTCTACAAAGGCTAAAATCCCAAAGTTCCCTCTAGAGGGAGTTTCTCTCCCACACACTCTCCCCCCCTGCCTGAAACGCCTCCATTGGACTCCTTTGTTTACTTCTGATACATAGTGACATCATTATGTAGTTAGTAGTGACATCACTATGTAACACTTGCGATTCTATAGGCTAATGCTCCGACACAATGTAACATTGTACGTGATAGGCTAAGGGGCAGGGGCGGACTGGCCATTGGGAATACCGGGAGTTTTCCAGGTGGGCCGGTACCGAAGTGGGCCGGTCGGACAATTCACTAGCACCCCCCACCCCCGTTGACAATTGACTAGCGGTACGGAGTTGGGGCGGTCGGGCGGTCGAGGGCGGGACATCTCTGAGCGGTTGACCAATCACAACAGAGCCAGCTAACCAATCAGAGCAGACTGGGCTCTGGTTTCAGACAGAGGGTGAAAAGAAGTGCTGCAGCACAGACAGTAAGAGAAAAATAAAGCATGTGAACATGTCACAGTAGAGGTGCTAAAAACAAATATGAAACCTAAAAATGAGCATAATAATGGCCCTTTAAAGCCACACTCATATCAAGACTACAGGGATGACTATGTGGGCCGGCCCACCACTGTTGTTCAGACTTTAATCAACTAGCGGATGGATTGCAAACATTATGGTACAGACATTCATGTTCCCATTAGGATGAATTAATAAAAAAATGTTTGTTTAGTGCCTATATTAAAAACGTATTGTTAATGTAAGCAATTTAGCAGATTTCACCTGTTGATAATCAATTATATGGTCAACTTTATACCTGCTGAACATTAACCATATTAACCATATCACTGTGGGATTATTTACATGATCTTAAAACAACATTGTGTCCGGGTACAGGCTCCCAGAGTTGCTAGCATGGCAAAGTAACACATTGTCCAGTAAAGCCAACAAATTGAATTTAGAGTATAATACAACCAAGAAGCAGTTCTCTGAGGTTTCTGTTCATCCCACAGGAGTCATCTGACTACGAGACAATGGTGCCTGGTGTAAGAACTGACTCGGATGTCCGCTGCAGCTTTTCTACTCCAGGCTTGGATGATCTTTCAGCTCTACCACCGCCATCACCTGACCTCTGCTCCCATTTCACATCAAGGAATCGCGAGTCCACTGTCACTCTCGGCCTCTGTGATTATGTGGATGTTGATGTACCAAAGCCCTTATGCCAGTACCAAGATCTGGATCTCAGTCGGTTAGAGGATCACGTCTATCACAGCCTTCATGGAAACAGCCATCCTAAAGATGGACCTCTGGGAGTCAAAAATATGATTAACTCTTGATACTGTTGAAGGATAATTCAAGGTTAATGAAAACAAACTGAAAGTTACTTTTTATTCACTTTTGTGTTGTTGTTGCTGTCTTTCCTGAACTCGCAGAGATATGTGATATGATTACTGATAAGTATGATAGCCAAACGGCAACAGTAAGGCTGTTGTAAACCAAAATGATCATTGTGTATAGATGAAAGAAAGAGTTGAAGTGACACAAATAAAAGAACGCAGGACTCTAAACAGAAAATGTGTTAGGTAGGTGTGGCAGCCAAATAAGTTGTTATGGAGAGGGAGTTAACAAAACGGCTTGTCACTGACATGAGAATAATCAGGAGTAAAGCAAGACAAAAATATGATGGACACCGCTACACTTCTTACAGCCAATGGGGATAAAGAAACAGACAGCAGGACTACCAGCAGCTTCAGCTTTTCTACCGCTCAGTACCAGGACACCAGAAGAGATAACTCAGATCCAACCTGAAGGCCTATTCTTCTCCACTCTTAGCTTCAACAAACACACAGACTGCAGCACCTCGAACCGCATGCCATATGCAAATATTACACATAAAGCAACAGATCAAACAACAGTCTATTACAATCTTTAAACTCAGTGCTGATCATCTTCACTGTTAATTTCACTATTATACACTCTAAGAGTTATCAAATCCAGCGCTCATATATTTCTGTAAATTCACAGGTTGTTGAAAAGTTCAGATTGTTTTTTTGCTAACTTTCATGCAAGACAGATAACTATATAGGAATAATGTTAATTCCTCCGAAAAATTATGTGTTTAAGTAATACAGCATCTTCCATCCATCTTCTCCCGCTTATCCGTGGTCGGGTCGCGGGGGAGCAGTTCCAGCAGAGAACAGCATCTTCATTAGATAATAAATTGTATCAATACATAGAATGTATTCTTTGTATACTTTCTGGGAAGGTTTGTTTGTGGTTGACTTAAGAGTTGGTAAAGCTGTGAAACATATTCAAACACACCTCCCACATAGAGCACAAACACACACACACACACACACACACACACACACACACACACACACACACACACACACACACACACACACACACACACACACACATTCAAACACACCTCCCACAAAGAGCACATAGAGCACAAACACACACACACACACGCACACACACACACACACACACACACACACACACACACACACACACACACACACACACACATTCAAACACGCACACACACATTCAAACACACCTCCCACATAGAGCACATAGAGCACAAACTCACACACACATACACACACACACACACACACACACACACACACACACACACACACACACACACACACACAAACACACACACACAGAAACTGAGAAGGTGATGTGAAAAAAGGAACAGCCGGTGGGAAAGCCTCACACACAGACCTACAGCTCTTAACACAACACACTTTATGATGAACCTCAGTACTTCCTGTATTCTTTGTATACTTTTTGGGAATGTTTGTTTGTGGTTGACTTAAGAGTTGGTAAAGCTGTGAAACATATTCAAACACACCTCCCACATAGAGCACAAACACACACACACACACACACACACACACACACACACACACACACACACACACACACACACACACACACACACACACACACACACACACACACACACACACACACACACACACACACACACACACACACACACACACACACACACACACACACACACACAGAACCGAGAAGGTGATGTGAAAAAAGGAACAGCCGGTGGGAAAGCCTCACACACAGACCTACAGCTCTTAACACAACACACTTTGTGATGAACCTCAGTACTTCCTGGTTCAAATGGGGCTCCAGTTGTGTTTCTTGAAGATAATTAAAGGGGTATTGGACTCCAATTATTCTACTATCAGTCATAATAATGGGGTGTAGGATCTAATGAGTGTTGTGCATTAGAACATGCCTCTGCAGTGATTATAATTGATAATTCAGGGATGATCCATCAGCACAGGGAAAACGTGGGCTTAGAGACCAACACATCGGTGAGGACGTGCATCTGCTCTACTCCACAGAATGTATTCCAAAATATATCCCTACATGTCCGAAACTTGCCAGAGAATCAGCACATAGGCCTATCAAAGTTTTCTATCACAGTGATCCAGTGATAAGGAATCTAGGTACATCACAAACACCGTAAAACATCCTGTGTTTTTCACAATGAGCTAATTGTGAAAATGTTTGTTTAATATAAAGAATGTACATGTAGAATACACTAAAGTTACATCATCTGTCACGATCTTATGAAGGACCCAAATGCAGCACTCGAGAAACCAAGGAGTATTGGTAATGTACTTTATTGGTAATACTACCAGAGCAGAGGAATACCAGCAGAACAGTATCAGCCGGATGATGTGCAGGCCGACGAACCAGAGGACAGCGGGCAGAAGGTGAGTCAGGGCCGGGCAGAGGGTCAGGGAGCAGGCGAGGCGGTCAACGTAGGTACAGGCAGGGTCAGACAGCAGGCAAGGCAGGATAGTCCAGGGACAGGCAGGATCAGGGAACAGGCAGAGCAGGCAGGTCAGGGACAGGCAGGGTCGGAACCGGGTGGGCAATCTGGTGACAAACGCGTGAAAGACTAGCATGAAGACAAAGTACGATCTGGCAATGGGTGTGTGTCTGGTGAGGGTTTAAATACTGGCAGTAAAGCTAATGGGTGCAGAAGAGAAAGAGAGTGAGCAAAAACGTGGGTGTGGTTAACAGGTGAGACAGGTGAATGGAAAACTACTGGTGAATGATGGAGCAGAACTGTGACATCATCTTAAAGAAAGTGAGGTCTGCATGGATTTAATATTGTGTTCAACATAATATTATAGCTTTCAACTAACTTAATACCAATATGTGTAAGCTTTTTACAAAATACATTTATTTAAAGGTCCCATGTCATGCTTTTCTGGTTTACCCATCCCCTTGTGTGTTATGTAGCTTTTTATGCATGTAAACGGTCTGCAGAGTCACAAACCCTCAAAGTACACCCTGTGGCGAGTAAAACTCTAACACAGAAAAGACACCAGTAATCCAGCTCACACTGTCCGCTCCTCGAGCCTCAAATGACGGAGCAGCGAGCCCCTCAACGTCCCGCCAACACGGCACCCAGACCCCACGCAGCATTCTCATCTGTTTGTCATTACTGGTGTCATTTTCTGGTTGCTAACAAACGCCATTGTAACACATAAACACTGATGTTCCGCTGTAACGGTGGTGGACTCATCAGAACAGAGTGGGCGAGCTGACCAATCAGAGCACACTGGGCTCATAGGGAGGGGGGGGGGGGGGGGGGGGCAGGAGCTCCAACAAGCCGTTTAGGACAGAGAGTGAATACACATACTATACAGAGATGCTGTATGAGAAACCAATGTGAGTTTGGAACATTGAACCATGTAAATCTATTCTAGTAGACCTCAACAATGGAATTATGACCAGTAGAAATGGCCATGACATGGGACCTTTAAAGTCAACGTTTTTTGAGTGTTTAGTAGGTGGGTTTCTAACTTTCACTTCCTGTTTTGTCTGATGCGTCATGTACAGTATGACGCTTTATATTTTACCATAACTTGACATAGGAGGACACAGTCAAACAGTGTACATTAAAGACTATTAAATGTGTGATGTCCTACTCTAAAAAAATGTAATGTTTACTTTAATCAAATGTATTATGTCAACAGGTTCCACGTAACTGTATTAAGTTAGTATTAATAGTATAAAGTTGAACCTATTATTTTGTATTTAAACTTAATATCATTGCTTTCAACTAACCCTTACATAATACACTTATTTAAGTCAACGTTTCACATTTCTTTCAGCATAATAAAACACAATATGATGTTCATACAGGTTTTTTACTGTAAAAGGACAAGGTACATAAGCAAGTTTTGAATAACCCATTAGGATGTTATCCCTCCTATGGAAATAATACACATAATCGGGTAGATCACTAAAATACCTTCAGTTCAGACTGGATATTAATAGCTTGTATTTTAATATTGTTTATCCAAAGATAAGAGGGCCATTGTGCAGTTGTTCTGTGAAGCACAACCCTATTTGTTTTTACGTGAGAGGAAGAGATCATGCGATGCAGTAGGTAAATGAGCCAGCACTCTCACATCAATATCTATCCAGCCATCTTTCTATCTTTCTCTCCTCCCTCCTTTTCTGTTTCTCTCTCTCTGAATATAAAAACTACAACCTCATTTTGAAATGCAAATGTTTCATGTGTCAGCTTCTCTAAGAGGCACATTCATATTTCACAGAGAGACAGTAGATCACTGATGTCATGACAAAAAGTATTTGATAAATGTACCGTTAATTATTGATCTTGGTTTTAAACTATAGTCAGGTGGAAAAAGCAGGACTGACATGATGAGGATATCACTGACATTTATCCTTTTCTTAATGACAGGTAAGTTTTTCTGTTCTTCTTTGATGATCAGCAACATGTTTGGCAACAACCAGTGTACTGTTTGATGATGAAATAACTTTATTTTCTATTGTCTGGTCTTTTAAAATAAGAAGAAAATCATACACCCAGCAAACTAAAAAACAGACATGGAAAGTACATAAGTAAAATGTTGAGGGTATTGTACTTTACTTGAGGATTTGTATATTTTCTACAACTTCTAATTCTGGAGCACATTTCAGAGGAAAATGCACTATTTACTTTCAAATGTCTTTGATTTACTCTTACGACCTTTTTATTACCTTGCAGTCTATGCATCTAAAAAAACATACAGTTCAGCTATTGACGAAATCTACAACCGAGACAACGAAGAAGACCGAGTCAAAACCAGACTACGAAGAGAGGAGAATTCTGGAACCACTAAGCTTAATGGTATGCAGTACCTGCACTTTCACATTCTACTCTTTGGTGTACCGTGACTTTTATTTGTGTATTGGCGCTTTTCACAGGCTGCCGGTACTCTAGTCTACTCAGCCCTCTCAAATCCTGTTCAATTGATCCTTTTGCCATAACAGGGGGGAAAAAAATGCTTTACCCAGGGAGCACTACTTCCCAGCGGGTACTCAAAGCTGCACGCACATTACGTTAGCGCTCAGGTGATTACATTAGTGCACCTAAACGACCTAAACTTCATCCTCTGCTATTGTAAGTTTGATGAAAGTCACATCACACACTTGTGCTACAAGGTTGGTTATGTGCGCGCTGCCTTGTTGTCAATTTAAAAACCTTTTGCTTATGGCATTGATTGTGGCTGCCACTGCAATGGGGCTTATATTGTTTGCACCTGTGTTTGGGACCTTGATGTGTTTTTATTTTGCTGTTTAAGCTGCAGTTTATTTGTATTCATGTAGCGTAATGCCTAGTGTACACTGGTTAATTCTTGTTACTCTACTCGGGAATGCATATTTAGATTATTTTTAAGGTGTAAGCCCCAGGCCTCCTCAAAATAAACAGATCTACATAAAATATATGCTCATGGTTCTATTTTCAGTGATCAGCACCTCATCACAACCCTAAGTATTTGACATATTTCATTACTTGTTTCTTCGTAAACTTTTTAACAAGTGATTTTTATTCTGCGTAAAATGTGTTTTAAGTACGCTCACTTGTACTTTTACTTGAGTACGATACTCTTGTAGATCTATTCTTTTGACCTCTGCTCTACACGCTACACTCTTTGATTTAAGTTGTTCAGGGCTTCATCTCCACTTATAGGATTTTTTTTGCTGTTTCAAATAAGGGACATATAATTAAACAAGCACTGACCACAGGTGTCCATTTGCTAACAAACAGCAACTGCAAACAAATGCTGAAACAACGTTTGCCTTTATGCATGAATCTTGAACACAAATAAACTCTTCTGACAGTATGTATTATTAAACAGCTTCAACTGTTGTCTTTCAGTACCATTAATAATTGGCAGTGTGGTGGGCTGTCTTGTCTTACTGACACTTGTGCTTGTGCTGATACTGTGCAGACACAAACTCCCCTGGACAAAAGGTGAGGGGCAAAAATGTAGCATAAGAAACACACCATAATCTTTATATGAATTTGTGGTTAAATATACATTATTCTTATCATATATTCTGTGTTTATTATTGGCAAAATGATTGTGGGTGAACTAATGTATTAATTAATATATTTACTAACAAAACAGATCCTGTGATTTCAATGCTGAATAACAGAAGCAAACGGGCAAACATGAAAATGATTGTGATTCTGATGGCGAACAGATTTAAAAATATCTTGTTATTTACATCAATTCAAATTGTCTCTTTTCTCAGCGTGTTGTGCTGCGGAGGGATCATCAGAGCAAAGGACAACTGCTGAACATAACAGAGAAGTGTGTTTGTGTGTGTGTGTGTGTGTGTGTGTGTGTGTGTATGTTTGTGTGTGTTTGTGTGTGTGTGTGTGTTTGTGTGTGTTTTTGTATTCATGAGTTTTTATATGAGTATGATCTGCATCTATCACACTGCTCCCCTTCATCCTCTGCAGGGACTTCATGAAGAACGACAGTATGAGGAAATACAGATGCCGAACCAGCAGGCAAGCTCAGGAAATGCCCTGACCTCCGTCTATGCCACCGCTCACCCTCCGGAAGACTCTCTCCACTATGCAAGTGTCAATTTTCAGGTGGATTCTGACTTGGCATTGACAGACAAGAATACTGACACAAATAAGAATGTCTCCTTGGCCAGCGACTACTCCTCTATAAGTCCATCTCAGGGTCTCACTCATCCTCCTCCATTAGCAGAGCAGAATGTTTACTCTACAGTCTCCAAGTCTAAGCAATGATGAGACAGACTTTCACCCGTTACTGTTAAAGGGACATTTCACCCCAAAAACAAAATATATATATATATCGGTTTCCCAATAGACCTGTATTGCCATTTATCAATCACCATTTGGTTTGGTTTTGGAGGACACCATTACATCTCCCTCTGTTGTGAGCACCAGCCTGTCGTCATAATGCACGCATGGTGAAACAGTATAAAGGAAATAGTTCCCAAATAAACGTTATTCAAAGGAAGGCAGACACCTCTATTACCGATATCTCCACCACTCATCAACAAAAACATAGAGACGGTTAAATAGCATAACCGGATTTTTGTATTCTTATTTTGGGATGAGCTGTCCCTTTAACTCTGCTGCTAGAGGCAACCTGCTGTGAGAGATTTGCATTTGTGTTACACTCTATACAACCAGAACATAGAAAGTTGTCTAGCTGGCAGCCTTTTTGAGAGATGGACAATCTGTTACAAAATAGAGATAGCTCATAGCTAATTAGCATCCCTCATGGGTTTGTAGTCATTTACTGAAACGTATATATGTGAATATTCATTTTAGTATGCTCTGAATGCTACTGATGAATAAAATTATGCTTGAGAATACTGCTGTTTCATTCTGGTCATTTCACTCATTTTCTTTATTACATTTGTCATTTCCAAACCTATTCAAGCAACTTCCAACTCAACACTTCGGCCCCAGCTAAAATGCAGTACCCAGCAACCTGTTTTTCAACCTGTGTGTCTGTGTGATTATTATTATTATTATTATATGTTTGTTTTGTTATTTTTATCTCCCATTGTAAAGCGTCCTTGGGTTTCTTGAAAGGCGCTATAAAAATTGAAATAATTATTATTACTTGCCATTGTTGTGTGAAAAATTCAGTTGCAACTATTTGCACTCAGAAACATCTTTACAATAACAAAAGTGCCATTTAAAAAAAGGTATTTACAGTTTTTCTCGATTGCTAACACACATTTTTTTTTAATTGCTCAGTTTCTCAGAACACTAAACACAATTCACAAAACCCCACACCCAAAGTGCAAAACACCTAATTTCTCCTGCGAAATGAAGAACTGCACTCAAAACTACATAAACACTTACCAAATGCAAACTTTTGCACCAAATATAACACTTCATTCATAATACTAGATTGTTTGACCACGCAACTACACACTGCTGAGCATAATCTAAAGCACGTTCATCTTTTATGGGCTATGCTCTGTACATAGAGGTTTCTGCAGAGAAAAATGGCTTGAGTTTACAGAAATACAGTAAATGAAGAAATGAAAAAAAAATCACATTTTATTCAAAAATAACATTGTGCAACATGCATCTCAGCACATAGTTACTGCTTCGGATCTCTCTAAGTGTGATGGCATTGTTTGCCAAAACCCAGTTTGTAACTGCTGCTTCCTGTGCCTCATTGGAAATCCTTAGCCTTCCACCTGCACCTCTTTGTTTCTCAGTCCTTCAGATAAACAACAAAGATATAGTGGTTGGTCAGTGTCTGTGTTGCATAAAAGTAAGTTAACCACAGTAAATTGTGCAGGATGTTTTGTGCAGTTATAGTATGCAACATGCCAACAATTCAATTACAGTAATGAAGTAAATACGTTTCACACAACAGATATAAGCGCCGATATATCATGAACTATGCAGAGCTGAAAACTGGTAACCTGTTTTCAAGTCTAAGTGTCCGGATTACAGAGGCAACAGTAAATCGGCTTAGATTAGGCTGAACCCTCTGTCCAGCCTCTCATCGTCAAACCATGGTTGATAACATTTCATTTCATTAGAGAGTACTCTTCCTCCTCCTCTCACTCTCAGCCCAGCTCTTCCTCTTCCTCTTGCTCATGCTTCCATGTTGGCGTCCATTGTTGCTGTAAGAAAGTACTCACCTGTGGTCTTTTTATAGTGCTAACATCCTGATTGATGAGCCAACAATTATGCTATCAGGTGTTTGGTCAGGTGGAACGTGTTTCTTGATTATTGGTCCATGTGTGAGGCATTTTGAATATCAGTGTTTTAAACCAGCTAACACGTGACTTTATGTCAGATTCCTGTGTCTTACGTGGAGAAACGTGTGCAGTGGTTTGCAAAAAGTGCCATGTTGATTTGCAAATTGTGTGAAAAGCTGAAAACGTGTTTAGAGTTTTGGAGATTTGAGCCGATGTTTTGCTCTTTGAGTGTTAGTTAAAATAATTGTGCTTTATGTATAATTTTAGTGTGTTAGCAATGGAGAAAAACTGTAAAGGAAATGTTTGTACTTATAGCCAAAGCGCCATACAAAACAAAAACAAAAACAAAACACAAAACAACAGAAGTTTAACCAGAAAACGTTTTTAAACAGTGGCGTTTTGTGGCACTGTTGACCTCCCATAATACCAACATTACTTTAACTTGTTTTGCAGCGCCCTCTTCTGGTTGAGCAGGAGATCAGCAGGTGATTGTCTTGTGTTTTTCTATTGGTGTTCATGGGGATTCTTTAAAATTGACTGATACTTAGTTACTCTACTTGTCTAACCGAGACTGACGCTGCAAATGAAAGTCTGTATAGATTATTGACAAAAAGTGTTAATTTTGTCCTAAATCACTTACATTGAAAGTGCATTTAAAATACAAACGGCCAATATGAATAGGACACATTATTACAGCAAGCAAAACCTGATTCAGTGATGAAATGGGTTCATATGGCTTATTTTTAATAAAGCACAAATAAGTGAATTTATTCGCAAAACAGATGTGGTATTCTTGAATTTAATAACAACTGTTTGATTTCCTTGAGTGGTTTTTTTCCGCATAAGCACTCTTCAAGGGATTCATACTTTTATTTGTGACTACAATCACACTTTGTAATTCCCCTGTGTCAAAGGGCAAGTCAAAAAACTTTATTGTAAAAAATGATGATGTATGTGTGTACATTGACGGACGTCCCATCTGACCAATGACAGAGGAGAGTGAGGCTGTAGGCGGAGCCATAATCTCCGGTGGAGGCTGGGTGTCGCCTGACCGGATGATGACAGAAGTTTACAGTTAAATGTGTGTACTTTTATCATGCAATCATCCAGCGCTGTCTGCAGCTGGGACTTTTCACTCTAACCGTCCTTGTGTTTTCATTGAATAAACTCACAGAAGCTTTGACAGACTGCGGTGCCGTCTGGGAACTTTTGTTTGGCTGGAAGAGCGACCCTTTGGCTCTTATTTGACCGGGGAGCAGAGCAGGATAAAGCCCGCTGGGCTGACCGAGGTGCCGCTATGGGAAACCGGGGGATGGAAGACCTAATTCCCCTCATCAACAAGCTCCAGGACGCCTTCAGCTCCATCGGCCAGTCCTGCAACTTGGATCTGCCGCAGATAGCTGTCGTCGGCGGCCAAAGCGCAGGGAAGAGCTCCGTGTTGGAAAATTTCGTCGGAAGGTTGTACCTTTTATATGAGTCTCTAGATTAATCTGACACTCTAAACGTGATTTGTTATTTTTCTCAATGTAGTTTGTGACTGTTGCTGTTATTTTACGCCAAACTTTTGCGTACAAATCGCCAACTAAGCACTTGGTTACACGCTCTTTGGTGCCTCCCAGTTTTTCCTAACGGATTTTTTTTCCTTTTTGGAACTGAGCAATACACAGTACACGAACAAAAACAAAACAGCTGTTCACAATAACCGAGGGGCAATTTGGTTAAAAGGGTGTTTCAAATATATTTTAGGTTAGAACTCCATATCCTAAATCTTTCGAAACGTTACTTCCTCAGCAGGAATATTAGCAGAAACTGCCTCTTCATACCAGGCCCATTCTGTCAAACATTTACAAAGGTTGTTTTTCTTTAAGGCTGAATGCTTGGGTTGTAAATACATCTTTATTATGCTTCACATTTCAAAGGTCAGGTCAATGTTTTACTTTTAAGGGTGAGGCACACACAATAGTTGCAGTTGAGATCAGGTAATGGTCAGATAGATTAATTATTGTAAGGGTCAGTACAAATTAAAATTCCTCCCAGCATGCCTGCACTGCTGATTTTCTTTGTGAGGTTGATGAATAAGTATAAAGGTATTTGAATGACTAGTTGATGGCAAATTGCAGCAAAACCAACAGTTACACTAAAATCATATGTTACTGCTCAGTTTATAAACTGTGTAGGAAAAAGTGCTATGAAAAAGTCATAGACAGTTTGTTTTTCAGTTACAACATTGAGCCTTGAAGGAAAATCTGAGGAAAGGGAAGAGGAAGAAGACATGTCGCTGCAGCAGAGGCCTACTGGAGATATCTGTTGCAGCTTTGTGTTTTTATCTCCAAATAAAAAGGTGCCCAGAGACGGGAACACTTCTACATCTCAGAACGATTTCACTTGTTTTCCAAGAGATTGGGAATGTTGATTAGGCAGCTAAGTCTCCTTTTTTTCCTGTCGCCTTTTGTCTCCGAGTCCCAAGTGGCTGGGCAGACAGTAGGGGCATTGATGAGTCTGTGTTGGGGTCATCAGTGATGTCACCAGCTGCACTGTCATGTGTATATGACACACTGGGTACCAGATACCCACAGAAGGCTACTTAGCTGTTTACGTTTGTTAATAGTGACATGCAGAAGTGTAACATTGGCTTGTTGATCAGTTTATATAATAATTTTTAGTTAGTTAGCTGTTTTCAATATATCGTTTGCCAACATGTCGTAGGAACGCCTAAACAGGTCCAAGATGGAAAACATTGAACCTACATTTACATTTGTCTTCCTACTGTCTTAAATTGGTTATTGAAAAATCTCCAAAAGTAAAATCGTTGTCAGCTTGTGACGTGTCCTTAAACTGCAGAATGTTTCTTACCTCTTACCTCTGCTTTTATAATAATGATTGAATTTAATGAACATTGAAAGCATGTGCCAGTTGATCCCAATTAGCAAAAGTAAACGCTACACCATTGGCCATAACAAGTCATAAGATTTGCTTTGCTGTGTGCACACAGAAAAATGTAAAGAAAAGTAGGGAGAGTTAAGATGAATATCTGCAAACAAAAGTATAAAGAGGCTGAAGCATTCTCAAGCTCAAGCTATTTGTAAAGCACTTTGGATTGCCTTGTGTTGAAATGTGCTATATAAATAAACTTGCCTTACTGAAACAAATTCACAAGTTTAGAAGTGGAGGTTCTTCTGCAGGAAGTGAAAGTCAAACTTGCAGCAGATACCATGGTAGCATTAGTGTATAACACTAAAAAAGATTCTTCATTTAAAAAAAGTGTATGCCTTGTAGAACAACCCAAATTATGATTTCAAAAATTTAGTATTATAAAGGAGAAAAATATAATTATATAAAACACAATAACCAATTATTTTTGCAAGTACAAATCCCAAATAAGAAAGCATTGGTAATTGTCAAAATCTTCACAAATACTGAATTAATTAGTTTAAGTGTAACATGTGTCCGTAAGAATGGTTGGTGTATGTGGCACATTGTTTATTTAGATGTTTCCATATTGTTTCTTTTTGTTTGTAAAGTTTTGGATGGTTTTGCCATCAGGTCTCAGTTTTTGAGGGGACAAAACCTATATTAATCTGTCCATTTAAAAAACATGTCACCTTCACTTCAGTTTCTTTTTTTGTCCAATTAACATCCGAAATGAAAAGATGTTCTGTGTGCATTAAAAGAAAAACAAACAAAGGCACCAAAGAAGAAGAAGCAGCTAAAACTAGAGAACATGTGTTAGTTTTAACTGAAACAATTAAATAAGACTTGCAGATTAGTTATCTTTCAATCAATTTAACAACACATTTAAAAAGCCCAAATCCCCAAATTTACCCAAGAAATGTTTAATGAACACATGGATAAAATATATTAGGATTTAATTGATTAACTGTCTTGTTGTTGGTAATAGTATTATTCATGTCGTGCTTCAAAAGTGACAGGAAGGGATGAGGAGGATGTTGTGTAACATCCTCACTGCAACGTCAGCTGTGTGTGTGTGTGTGTGTGTGTGTGTGTGTGTGTGTGTGTGTGTGTGTGTGTGTGTGTGTGTGTGTGTGTGTGTGTGTGTGTGTGTGTGTGTGTGTGTGTGTGTGTGTGTGTGTGTGTGTGTGTGTGGTGTGTGTGTGTGTGTGTGTGTGTGTGTGTGTGTGTGTGTGTGTGTGTGTGTGTGTGTGTGTGTGTGTGTGTGTGTGTGTGTGTGTGTGTGTGTGTGTGTGTGTGTGTGTGTGTGTGTGTGTGTGTGTGTGTGTGTGTGTGTGTGTGTGTGTGTGTGTGTGTGTGTGTGTGTGTGTGTGTGTGTGTGTGTGTGTGTGTGTGTGTGTGTGTGTGTGTGTGTGTGTGTGTGTGTGTGTGTGTGTGTGTGTGTGTGTGTGTGTGTGTGTGTGTGTGTGTGTGTGTGTGTGTGTGTGGCCTGCTTACCTTACGCTAAAACTCAGTCTTGCTGCTGACCTGGCAAACACACAAAGAGAAGAACAGACAGACATATTCTCATGGCCTGGAGAGTTTGGTAGTCAGTGACCTGGAAATGATCACAATTATATTGAACACGAGTTTCCATTCAGATGAGCCTGTATGTAATGCGAAGTGGAAACAAAGAGACATGCTTCTTTCTCTATGCACTATTTATAATGGATAGTGTTGTAAGGTAATCCTGCCATGTTTAAATAATGCACACATGTACACGCGTAGACACTGCGGATTGATTTTAGAGCTTGTAAGCTTTTCATTTGGGTAGAAGCTGACACATATTCATTACTCTGACATGACATGTTTGAAAACAAAATGCTTATTGGCAGTTTAGTTACTGAGGGCAAAGCATCATTGCTGAATAATGAATCAGGGATCAATAAGAGTGCAATCGATTGCTCTTGTTCTTTAACACTTTATTGTTGTGACACAGCCAAAACAGCCATTTGTCTGTCCTAAGTTATCAGTGTGTTTTAAATTGTATATCTCCCTCTACTTCAGGGACTTCTTACCCAGAGGATCTGGCATCGTCACCCGTCGTCCGCTCATCCTCCAGCTGGTTAACTCTAAAGTGGGCAAGTAAAGAGACCAACTGTTGGGAAAGGGTTTGCACTCTTAAATCCAGACTTTACAAAACATAGAGTCTGATGTGTGTAGCCAAAATGAACAGTACTAGCTCATAGAAAATGTATAGTTAAAATCAATATTTAATCAAATGCATTGCAAAACAGATGTGCAGAAAATGCATTGATTTATAGACAATTGAGTTGTAAAACAACCCAAAAGCACACATGAGCGTTTTTTGTGAAACTGACAGGTTCACACAATCTTTTCTCAAAAATCCATAGTTCAAATAGCTTATACAACAAGTTTAATGAAACAAATACTGCACTCCCCATCTTTGTGGCATCTCTCTCTGTTGCACCATCATAACGTTTCTGTATCTATGTTCATAACCTATCAATTAATTGCCCTCTTTCCTGTCTAAATCTCAAATGTTCTCCGTGTAGAGTATGCAGAGTTCCTGCACTGTAAGGGCCGTAAGTTTGTGGACTTTGATGAGGTCCGTCTGGAGATTGAAGCGGAGACTGAGAGGATCACCGGATCCAACAAGGGCATCTCCACCGTCCCCATCAACCTCCGTGTCTACTCCCCTAATGGTAACACACACACAAATAAAAACGTAGCCATTTTGGTAAAGGTTTTCAGCCTCTAACCTCCTTCCTTATACCCTATCAACATCTCTCAGTGCTGAACCTGACCCTGATCGATCTGCCGGGGATGACCAAGGTTGCCGTGGGAGACCAGCCTGTGGACATCGAGCACCAGATCATGGAAATGCTGATGCAGTTCATCACCAAGGACAGCTGTCTGATCCTGGCTGTCACACCGGCCAACACTGACCTGGCCAACTCCGATGCCCTCAAGATTTCCAAGGAGGTGGACCCTCAGGGTAAGGGGACCTTGAGGAGTGTGTGTGTTCATGTATAGGATCATCTGAATGGCCTTGATAACTTTTCGCTGGATATTTTTATAAATTTGACCTATTTTGCTCTAATTTACAAAGCTAATTTCTATATCTTGCTTCCATAATCACTCTTCCTTCTATAAATCTTAGCCTCAGTGCAAAAGCAGGCTGCAGGCGTAATTAACAGATACATTATTAAAATACATCCTGGTAGCATAGATGTATTACAAGAGTATTGGAGGAAATTCTAATTCCCTTACAGAGAAACCGATAAATGATTCATGGTCAAGTTTGTCTTTTGTTATATTTAATAAAGTAATAAAAAAAGTCAATATACAATTGAAATCGATCTCAAATGCAGGAACAGAGCAACTTCATCCTGAGAGGATAAAATGGCTTTGCACCCAGAACACAGCTTACCGTCACACTATATAGTAGAACAAAAATAGCCAACTGGTACTACCCATAACTTCTCTTAGGCATTAGCTAAACATCGCCACCATTAAACCATAAAACCCCCCAGTCCTTAACCATTTGAAAAATCCACCTTTTGCCCTTCCTGAAATGTCAATCCCAGAGTTAGGACTAAAAATACAATTTAACCGAGTAAAAGGCAATCATATTATAAGACATAATCTATATATATGATTTAAATGATTATATGACAGGACAATTAGTAGATATAATTAAATGTAATCATCCCAACCTTTCGTCTTCTTTTATTAAACCCAGACAAAGCTATTAAAGGTTCAGGCTTGTAATTATAGGACGAATGATAACTACAGCTTCTCCCTAACATTTAATTTAATGCCATCATCAGTTAAGAAATTATAATTTGTCTAATACTTTATGACAAAATACCTGAAAAACAAATTGCATTCCCAACCATATTCAGCTGTACTTTAGTGCTAATGCTAAACTGGTAATAAGCTAATGCTAAGGCAATGTTAGCATGCTTACAAACTTAATTAAGATGGACGACAAGATGGTATATCTCTCCCCTGAACATAAACGTGTTAGAATTGTCATGGTGACCATGTTAGCGTGCTGATAGCAGTTAGCTCTACTGTGCCTAAGTAAAGATGGTAGACTGTATATGTAAAGGTGCAGACCCACAGCTAGCATGGCTGTAGACATAGCCTATTTTATGGCTTTTGAGCAGTGTGGGCTGTAAAATACTGTTTATATACTGTTCTACTGAAGGTTATTAGACTTGAAATACCTAAGTTATAACCTCCAATTATCTGTTTGAATCCTAAAATCCCATGTGTGAATATAAGAGCGAGAGATTCAGTATTAGCATTGATGCTTTTGTCTTTAGGTCTACGGACCATCGGTGTGATCACCAAGCTGGACCTGATGGATGAAGGGACGGACGCACGAGACATCCTGGAAAACAAACTACTGCCGCTCCGCAGAGGTGAGAACCCCCCCCCACGCACACATTTGATTAAATCCTTGATTGGAATCCAGCTATTACATTACAATATTTACAGACTTTATATACTACCCAAAACAGGGTGTCTTTTCTTTAGGGGTCAGCCAATCATCAATCTGCATTCTTTTCCCTGTAATTCCTGACATTGAAATTAAACAATTACTATGGTGTTAAATTGACTAACAGCTTTATTTGTATTGTTCCACATGTGAACAGCTCTCCAATTGTAGAAGTTATAATAATTTAGTATTTGGTCTCAAGTGCTTTGGAATCAACGTTTGTCTTTATTCCATAACGCACATTGAACAACTGATATTTGTCTTTCTTTAGGTTACATCGGGGTGGTGAACCGCAGTCAGAAGGACATTGATGGAAAGAAAGACATCCGCGCTGCTTTGGCTGCTGAGAGGAAGTTCTTCCTGTCCCACCCAGGGTACAGACACATTGCAGAACGCATGGGCACACCACACCTGCAGAAGACCCTCAATCAGGTGAGACACACACACACACACACACACACACACACACACACACACACACACACACACACACACACACACACACACACACACACACACACACACACACACACACACACACACACACACACACACACACACACACACACTCACAGTTTTTATCCCATTTACTTCAAGCTGCATTCTAGAAGGAACCCTTTTGATTCACAATTATTCCTTCCTACAATTCTTCCATAATAAAATTGATTAGACGGAACTGTTGTATAACAATATTTATTTCTTGTATGTCTTTGCAGCAACTGACAAATCACATCCGTGATACGTTGCCAGGGTTACGCAGTAAGCTGCAAAGCCAGGTGCTATCGTTGGAGAAAGAGGTGGAGGAGTACAAGAACTTCCGCCCCGACGACCCAACGCGCAAGACCAAGGCTTTGCTCCAGTCAGTACACACACACACACACACACACACACACACACACACACACACACACACACACACACACACACACACACACACACACACACACACACACACACACACACACACACACACACACACACACACACACACACACACACACACACACACACACACACACACACACACACACACACACACACGTTTCCATAAGTATAGAAATGTAATGTCAGGGTGTCTGCGCGGTCTTAAGTATTCAAAGTTGATAAATCAATTTAGCAAAGATTAAGGCTATTAAAAAGTATTAAACGGCATTTTCCAAGGTATTACATTTTGTAGCTTGTTTTCAATAAGTATATGAATTGTCCAAAGAGGTTTTATTCTACAGTTAGCCTGAATGTAATCATTGCGTAGGTGTGTAGTGTGATTCTTTGTAGTTTATTTATGGCATCCCGTTGGATTTGACGTCATCTGAACAGGACATCGCACGCTCACTGCTTGATAGCTCGCGAAGGTCCGTTTACGCCGGTTGTTAAACAACATCGTTATGGGGAAATGCAAGTTTGCGTCCAAATGGTTGGAAGATAAGGAGGAAGGACAATCAATACTGTATATAGTAAATGTGAGGTAAAGTGTGTCGCCAATGTAACCGGTTAAAACTCAAAGGTCTTAAAATGTATGGAAAGGGTCTTAAAAAAGGTCTTGAAAGCTATTACATTTGACTTCAGGATTCCTGCATATACCCTGAATGTATAATACTTATAATCGGTAGAATGGTGCAGCAGTTTGGTGTGGACTTTGAGAAGTGCATCGAGGGCTCTGGTGATCAGGTGGACACCTCCAACCTGTCAGGTGGAGCAAAGATCAACCGCATCTTCCACGAGCGATTTCCCTTCGAGCTCGTGAAGGTGAGCAGTATCGTGAATTCTTTTGAATGCATTACATCTATTAATTTCAATTTCAGCTGTTTTTTTCTTCCACTTCTGCATATTTCTCATTTAATTTGGCAAGGTATTGCTTTCTTTGATCATTCTGTTAATAAAAACAGGGGTAAACAAATGGCACTAGCATTGTAAAGTTGTTAATGTGCTTTGCCTTCTTAACTGTTTTGTATTTACACTACGTATGTGGTTGTCATACTGTAGCTATGTTTCCTAAACTCTATTTTAATCCAGCGCTAACAAACACAAACAAGCAGATTATCCCTCCTCTCCCCCATTGTCAGTATATGCATGGCAATGGCATGGCAGTTTAAATTGGGTTTTTTTGCCCGGTGTCTTAGATGGAGTTTGATGAGAAGGAGCTGAGGAGAGAGATCAGTTACGCCATCAAGAACATCCACGGAGTCAGGCAAGTCTGCAAACAGCACACTGTGTTGCACACATTTGCCTTCTTTATGTCTTCCAGCCTTTTTTCCTTATATGTGTTCATTAGCTTTATAAAGACCCACTCTTTCTGTCTTCAAGTGTTTTGTATCTTATGTCTCCATTAAGTGTGCTGTCTCTTCTGTCTGTCTTTGATTTCTTGTTTCTGTGAGTCGATTCTATTTAGTCTCCTTGGCTGCTTGTTAGCCTTATTGCTGTCTTCCACTTCACTTCACATTTTCTTTTTCTAATACACCTAATTTGGTCCTCCTCAGTGTCTCCCTCCATCCGTGTGCCTGTCTCACACTCTCCCTGTGTGTCTATCTACCCTTGTCTCTCCATGTCTGTCTTATCTGTATGTCCTTCAGGACAGGCCTGTTCACCCCAGACTTGGCGTTTGAGGCCATAGTGAAAAAGCAGCTCATTAAGCTGAAAGAGCCCTGTCTGAAATGCATCGACCTGGTCATCCAGGAGCTCATCAACACAGTCAGACAGTGCACTAATAAGGTATCACTGCATGGTCTCCTGCCTGGCTGCCACACCTCTACACACACACCAGAGAGACCAGCCGACTGTAGAGTTGCCAGGTCCATTAAAGCAGCCAATTGAATCATTTTAGCTATGTGCTTTTGGACATAATTCCAGCATCCTGGATTAAAAAAGAAAGTGAATGAACTCAAAGGAAAGGTTCAGTTTTCACAGTCCTGATTTGAAGTTCACTTGCAGGAACATTGGTGGTTGTATTTGAATATCCTGGCTGTACTTCACTGGAGTGGTGTCTCTGGGAAGATGTGTGGTTACAGACTGGATGTGGCTTGTTGCTGAAAAGTATCATTACAAAACAAGCTGCTAGGTTTCAGGCTACGGCTGAAAGATGTACAGCCATGCTAGCGGCTCTGTGAGGCTGAATTTAGGCACACATGGTGCTTTGAGCTAGATGCTAACATCAGCATGCTAACATGCCGATGTTTAACAGCTACAATGTTTACCATCTGAGCTTAGCGTTTTAGCATGCTAACATTTGCTATTGTTAAAATAACTTACTGGACTAGTTGCAATTGTGCCCAGATGGTGGCTCTAGAGGAAGTTTAGGTTATTAACAATACAATTTGGATTTGCAGTATGTGAATCATGAACGTCTGTACAAAATGTCATGGCGATCCATCCAATAAATGTTAAAAGATATTGACTGACTGGCATTGAGATATATATATATATATATATAGCCATGAACCTGGCATGGCCTAAAAGCTGTGGTCTGACTCTCAACGCGCACATGAATAGGAAGCTGATGCAGCCATTAATACTTTTGAGAACCTGCAGCTTGTTTCTGTTCTGTAAATGAATTAGAACTAACTAAAATACCTTTTTCTCCCTCAATCTTCATGATCCTTTCCCTTTTTTGAACACTTCCTTTTTCCCCCAAACTATTCCATTCAACTTGGGATTTCACTTTATTTTTTGCCACCATTTCCCTTTTCCTCTTCATGCTACACTGCCTCCTTCCCTCACCTGCCATTAAATCTCAAACTCCCATGATGCCTCACCACCACAGGACAGGCCTGTTCACCCCAGACTTGGCGTTTGAGGCCATAGTGAAAAAGCAGGTCATTAAGCTGAAAGACCCCTGTCTGAAATGTGTCGACCTCGTTGTCACCGAGCTTGCCGCCCTGATCAGGAAGTGCACGGAAAAGGTAAACAGGAACAGTGGACAGACAGATTTAAAAATGATTAATTTAGAGAGCGAAAAAATGCAATCAGTCAGTGATAGAGAGCAGTCAAAAAAAAGGAAAAGAGAGGAAAATGTAATCAACTAACTTATCCCTGTCTGTTATTGCTGATCAATTCCCCTTACCGCTGTGTGAAGGCTTCACGTCCCACCCGTCTACCCCTTGGTTCCCTCTTTAATGACGAATCTAACGAGCCCTTTCCCTATCGAGACCCTGGACCTCCACCGGCACACTTACCCCATCTTCACTGTGATTGGTGATTTACATAACACCCCCTCACCTCACCTCACTTATCCAATCAGATCCCCACTCTCACACTAAGGAATTGGGCTGTTCCCCACCCTGTCTTGTCAATGGAAATGTTCATGTATTACTCCTGTGATACCCCCTTTACCGCACCATTGACACCAATAACACAACCCCTCCCCCACACACACACACACACACACACACCACACACACACACACACACACACACACACACACACACACACACACACACACACACACACACACACACACACACACACACACACACACACACACACCTCCATCAGACCCTCTCCAATCTTCATCTCTTTCTGAAATCTAACCTGATCTTTTCTTCTGCTACTTCCTCCCTGATTTGTTGAGACTTGCTATCAGCTTGAGATGATATTATGCTAATTAGAGTTGGGGTAAGCTCTTCATGTAAGAATTGAGATTCTCATATTCTATTATTTATTTATTTATTTGTAATTCTTTTTTGTATTTATCTAACTGATGGACAGTATTCCTAAACACCAATTTGTTGTTATGTCCAGCATTATTCAAAATGAACTTAACTTTGCTTTCATGCGGTCATTTCCAACACCACCTTTATTAACCATCAATAGACTGGTGTAGATTATGAAATAAGCAGCCGTATATACTAAACTGAGAATCAATTTTGAATTATGAGATACCGGAAGATTTACACCCCTGAACCTTATGTTTACTGTTTTTGTACACTGGTAACAACTTCATAGCTTTTGCAACACCTAAAGCTGACAAGTCATCTCCAGCTGATACAGATCTCTTTAGTGCATGCCTGCTCAGTGTTCATGTTGAATGCCCTGCCTCATATTTTGTGTTTATACTCTATATTTACTGTCAGTGGTTGTTGGGAGTTATTGCCTATGAGGAAACAAAGTGTTGCAGTGTTGTGTAAGCCTGCACAGGTGTGTGTCCTGTAATCACGGTGCCTGCAGCAGTGCGTGTGTTTGTGTGTGGCTCTACAGCTGGGATCGTACCCTCGACTGAGAGAAGAGACGGAGAGAATCGTCACCACCTACGTTAGAGAGAGAGACAGCAAGACCAAAGACCAGGTGTGTTTTTGTGTGTACGGTGTGTGTGTACAGTGTGTGTAGAGTGTACGGTTTCCTCTGTTTGTGTACATACCATGTCATTATTTTTCTCTCAGGTGCTGCTGTTGATCGACATTGAGCTCTCCTACATCAACACTAATCATGAGGACTTCATTGGATTTGCCAAGTAAGATACTTATTCATTATTACTTATTAATTAGTTTTATTAGCAACAGGGGTCGGTAGGTTTTTTTCTTATTCTTTCCTGCAAAGATTTAAAGATTCTTCTTGGTATATATGATACTAAATGTGTGTGCTTTGGACTGTTGACTGAATATTAAAAGCAACTTCCATATCAACTTGGGTGCTGGTAGAAAAATAATGGCAATCTTTCACTATTTCCCAATATGACTGGACAAATGGTTAATTGATAAATCAATCAAATATACAATTATTATTAATTGCTGCCTATATTCATTAAAATCCAAACAGTCAGTACACATGTTTAATCAAATCTGAAAAACCCTTATGCTTTCCATCTGAAATTATTAAAGAAAACATATAAATTAAACCTTTTAAGAATTTATAGAAAGGAAAAAATAATATCATTTGATTCATATTCCAGAAATATCTTGTATGCATTTGTTAGCATATCCCTCATCCTTCAATGTCTCTCCTGCAGTGCCCAGCAAAGGACGGCTGCTAACATCACCAAGAAGAGAGTCATGCCCAATCAGGTAACTCTGCTGTTTAAAACTCTGTAGCATCACAGCAGCTGCTTTCTCCTGCTGCTCCTTCATTTCCCGTTCTCTCTGTCGTTGTCTCAGCCCGTCTCTCCTCTCATGTGTCCCTCTGTTGATTCACATTTACACACTCTTGTCTGTGCCCCTGTTGTCCTTTTTCTCCCTTTCCTCTTTCTCTTCTTCTGTTCCTCCTTCTCATGGCCCAGGGGGAGATTCTTGTAAGTACCGTGCCCACTGGCTGCACCTCCACTTGTCACTTCCTCTTTGGGTGGGTGGGGGAGTCGAGGAACCAGATTTGTGCTCCTTGATGAAGAAGAGGGAAGTGAAAGAGTTACACTCATGGATGTATCATCATAAGAACCGGATACCCTGTACCAAGAGTTTCTCACCCAGTGAATAAGCTATTGTTTTCTCATTCTGTATTTTTCAGTATTGTTTTTTCATGTGTGGGATATGATAACACTTAAGAAGCCTTTCTAGAGATCCCTATGTCTTATTCTTGCACAGCGGTGTGAACAAAAAAACAACAAGAGTTTGTGTATATTTTTGTAAAACCATTGAGTTTATTATTATTTATAAGAATGGATATCGACATCTTTAACATATGCCTTTATTTTGAAATTCCCAAGGCATGACTGTGTCACCATTTTTGTCCAAGCAGACCACCGTCCTAAACATTTAAACAGTGCTTAAACACGAGAGAGTGAAACACTTTTGTAAAGCCTAGAAATACAATACAATACAAAATTACATTATTAATTATGTGAGTTGATATAAATATAACTGATATTGTTAAATGGGCACATGGTATCATCTCATAGCGCTTGCAGGCTTCCGAATTGAATCAATGAAAATGGTATCATGGCAGATTCATGATATCGCCAAACAATCGTATCGTTCTCTAAATGATTGATTTAGCGTTGTATCATGGTAAAAGTATTCACATGCTCAAAGTTGAGATTGTCTAAAATAAATGAAAGCGCCCCCTCGGTGGCCCTGAGCTCGTCTATGCTCAACCGCCTTGATCATAATAGAGATTTATGTAGAAAAGGCTTTTTAAGGCTGCAGGGGAATCCTGAACTGAAGCACCACAGCTTGCAACTGACTCTATAATACACTCATGGTTACACCACCACACAATCCATATGTCCTCTCATTACCCCTGTGTGTCTGTTCCCTTTGTCTCCTTGTCCGTCAGTCTGACAGAGAGAGAGAAACAGAGAAGGTGACTTTTTATTGGAGCCTGTCATTTATTCTCTGTCTCTGTGTTTGTTATGAATTTTCCGGTAAGACAGTTTGGCCTGATCTGAATGCATTGTGCATCTTTTTCTTGCAAAACTGTTGCACTTGCATGTCTTTTCTGCTTTATTTTGCTGTCAATTATTTCTACACATGTATGTTTTTGTCTTTCATTTGTTTTCTATTATTCTATTTGATTTCTGTAGATACATATGGGGTGTGTGGTTTAGTCAACTTTTGGGCTCTCGTGTGCAGGTCATCCGCAGAGGCTGGCTCACAATCAACATCAGCATCATGAAGGGAGGATCCAAGGACTACTGGTTTGTCCTGACAGCTGAGTCTCTCTCCTGGTACAAAGATGAGGAGGTAAGGCTACTAAGGGGACAGTACATGGACAAAATATTGCCTTATTTTCAAGGCAAGTTTATTTATATAGCACACTCATTTAACTCATTTAAAAGCAAAGATAGTAAAACATGAATAACAAAGGTACATGAATACAAATGACAGTGCAGTGTGAGATACACACATCTGAAATGTTTAGGTCTGACTCTCAATCATTGCTAACTTTTTTAGCAGAAATAGTTTTCTTTGACCTCACTTTCTTTCTGCTTTCTTTTTTAACTTATCCTTTAGTTATTTCAAGTGTTTCATGCTAAACGAACCCCTCTTTGTATAATTCTAATCTGCAATCCAATATTTCGAAAATTCAATGGATCCTGGCCATATTTGTGTAGCATATAACATTCATTTGCTCCCAGACATTCATTTGGCTTGCTAGTTTTGGACCCAATCTGTAGTCAAAAAGTCACCACCTAAGGTCCTTTCAGTATTTCTACTCATTTCATTTAATTTCAAACCTTTATTTAACCAGATGGTCCCATTGAGATCATAGATCTCTTTTTCAAGGGAGACCTGCAGCATATAGGTTCCACATGAAACATAAAACAATAAAGGACATCATACATTATATTTACAGGATACATTTACATAGTTATAGACATTTACAAGTACCCATAGTATCAACGAGCATTTCATTTAGCCTAGCTACTAATCACTTAAGCATACAATAGTGCCTTTTGACTTTCTGTTTGATAGGAGCGTCCTCCTACCTGAGGTTATTTTACAGGCACAACCTCACATAGAGAGAAAGTTGGCGTTTTTTCTAGGAGAAATATTCTAGCATCTTGTAAAGTACTTAATAAATGTGCACCTGGATAATAAAGCCCACTTGTTGTACCTTGAAATCACTTATTATAGGGAAGAGACTGTTTTGTTATAGTATGACTTATTTTATTGTTGTCATATCATTTGTTTATCAGGAAAAAGAGAAGAAGTACATGCTGCCTCTGGACAACCTGAAGCTGAGAGATGTGGAGAAGGGCTTCATGTCCAGCAAACAAGTCTTCGCCATCTTTAGCACTGAACAGAGGTGCGGCTGCTTTAATCCTCTAAAACAGTCATGTTTACGGTGTTAGTCCGTTCTGATCTTTGGTTCATTTCAACACGTGTGTCTTACAGGAATGTGTACAAAGACCTGCGTCAGATTGAGCTGGCGTGTGACGCTCAGGAGGACGTGGACAGCTGGAAGGCCTCGTTCCTCAGAGCTGGTGTTTACCCAGAGAAAGATCAGGTAAACTAGAGTGTAGTCACTTTTTTAATCTAGTTAGCGTTAAGTTAATTGTTTTTACAAAGGACTGCAGCTTAACTTTAAATGTGGCCTGAGGACTTCTAAAGATATAGTGATGAAAACCCAAAGGTAAAAAGTTAGTACACTCTAAGATGTCAGCGTTTCGGCTGTTACACAGTCGTTTGATATTTAAAGTCAACTTTTCAGTTTAATAAAATCATTAAATGTTTCTTCCACAACATGCATATGCTAATTTAATGTACTGCCCTGCTGCTCCAGGAAGCACACTGGGGATCCAAAATGTAGGTCATAGTTACCTTGCACTTTGTATAATCAGGTCAGGTCAGAGAGCAATTCTATCAAGAGATGTTATTTGTGATCAATAATACTGATGTAGTGTGGATGAAAATACAAATGTGGATTAAACTGTATTTGCATTTATGTGTCCAATAATTTCGACATGTGCACACTGTCATTTGAAAGCCCCTTACACAGCTTTAAATCTATTTGTATTTCTCTATAACAGTAAATATAGTATTTAAAGATTAAAAATTGCTTGAATTTCTATTTATTTGATTTAAATTCAGCCTTATATACTTAAAAACTCTGCCTAACTGCTTCATCATGTCTGTGGGGTTGTGCTTCAAACATATTTTGATTGACAGTTGTCATCAGCTCCTATTTCAGATATTGCTTCTTGCGCAGACAAAAACACAAAAACCTGTTTCTCAGATGTGTTAGAACCAAAGTGATGTCCAACATTGGCAGACGTATATTCATGTCGGAACCCAATGGCTTAGGTAGCAGTAGTAGAAATCTGAAGGGGAGAACATATATTTTCAGGACCTTTACAGATCGCACTAACAGAAACAAAACATCTCTGCCCACCCCCCCCCCCCCTCACATCTCTCTATCTTGGTGTCTTTCAGCCTGCGAGTGAAGATGTGATGAACCCGAGCGACACCGTGTCCATGGACCCACAGCTGGAGCGGCAGGTGGAGACCATCCGCAACCTGGTGGACTCGTACATCGGCATCGTTAACAAGTCCATCAGAGACCTCATGCCCAAGACCATCATGCACCTCATGATCAACAGTGTACGTGTTCTGCTTTATCTCTTTTCCCATTAGTCATATTCAACATCTAGACAGGTATGAGAAATGGAAGTCATTTATCATTCTTGCAATTTTTTGGTGTCCGATCTCCAGGCGAAGGACTTCATCCACTCCGAGCTGCTGGCCTACCTGTACTCGGCCGGGGACCAGGGCAGTATGATGGAGGAGTCCCCGGAGCAGGCCCAGAGGAGAGACGAGATGCTGAGGATGTACCACGCTCTGAAAGAGGCCCTCGTCCTCATAGGAGACATCAGCACCACCACCATTTCTGTCCCAGTGCCTCCACCTGTAGACGACAAATGGATTGCCAAGGACCCGAGGTAACACATATTTACAATCTAGGTTTAAGCTGACCAATATATATTTTGGCCACCAGAGGCCACTGACGTGTTAATTTCTCTACTGTACTGTACCGTGTTCAAGATGTAAATTGGAACAGGATGCATTCCTAGTCAGAGTTAAAAAAAGAAAAAGAAATCCAATATCGCTGTTTATGTTAAACAACAATCCCCAAGGGCTTAAACATTTCTAGAATCATTCTATAGAGGGAAAGCAGGATAATATGTCGCACTCATTCTCATGCAGTCAACAGCTAGGAGACGCTCCACTCACACTTCCAAATAGCTTCAGTGTATTGCCACCTGGTGCAAATAAATAAAATCATATAAACTATAAAATCCACTTTAGTAAATGTACTTGTATTTAATCATATCATCTTGAGTATAATCATTATGTTTGCATATTCTGCTAATACAAATATGCATATAATATCTTTATGAATACATGTAGAGTGCATTACATCAACATACTCTCATTTGTAAATGTAACATCCTTGTCTCTCTGTGTCTCAGTCCTCCACCTGCGTCCCGCCCTGCCGCAGCAACAGCGCCCCCTCCCAGCAGACCCCCTGCAGTGAGGGGCCCCACCCCAGGCCCTCCGCCCCCTCTCAACCCCTCCCCAGCATTCGGGGGACCGCCCGTTCCGACTCGCCCACCGGGACAAACGGCCTACGCCGGGGATCCAAACTCTGGATCTGTGCCTCTAGTTCCTTCACGGCCGGCCCGCGTGCCTCCCGCTCTGCCGCCAGGGATTCCCAGGTAAAATCGTTCACACACACACACACACACACACACACACACACACACACACACACACACACACACACACACACACACACACACACACACACACACACACACACACACACACACACACATTCTGACTATTGTGGTATTGGTGAAAGGGGCTGGGGCTGCTGGTGAAGGGTTGTACTGTATGTTCTGGCTTTTTGGTGTTTTGGGAATCTTTGCTGCATGGTTATCTGATGATATTTTTCCTTGCATGTGTCCCCCTCCCCCCCTCTTTCCCCCAAAACCTGTCCTCCTCTCTCTTCCTACAGCAGAAGACCCCCGGGTGCTCCCATCCGACCCACTGTCATACGTCCTTCAGAGCCCTCCCTGCTTGACTAGAAACACACACACACAATTCTTGTTTACACGTTTATATTTCTGTAGAGCAGAGAGTCATCTGTCATTTCCCATGTTTATTCCTATAACTACACACCTACAGTAACCTGTCATCTGATGCTGTTTCAGTCTGTGCATTTCAGAAACATTATGTATGTACTTTAACTAAATGTGTAGGTAGAGGTTTTTTTTAAACAAAGAATATGATGACATTTTCTGCAGTATGTGTTGTGAAAAGGGATACATGTGATGATTGTATTGACTTAAAGGCTACAAACCAGCAAGTCACCTTGAATTTTTTGATTGTTTCATTTGAAATGTGTCTTTAAAACAATATATGACTCATAACTTTGATATAATGGTAAAAAAAACGATTTTAGAAGTAATCTTTTGTGAGCTGTATACTTGCTAACGTTTTGGCAGTAATCTCACACACTAAGCACCTCGTTAAGAAAGCAGCACTTTTCCATCAAGTCTCTTTTCTCTTCCTTGATGGTGTATTTTCAAAGCCTTAAATTGAGCATAGTCAAATTAGACTCACTAATGGAATTTGTATTTTGGCGTCATTACAATATTTTTCAAGGATACATGAATTAAGTTTTTTGTGTTTCTCTTTTGTGGAACAATTGAAAAGTGACATACCTACCACCACTGCTCTCATTGTAGGTGATATTTGAATCAAGTGCCTTGAGCAAAATACAAATGACTCACAAAATACAAAAGCCCAATAAAAAAGAATCATCCAAGAGAAAGGGCCTGTCCGTCTGTCAGCAGGTGTATAAAGAGATGTATTGAATAAAGGAATATAAGGTGTCGTGGCTGGTGCGTGTTACTGTTGTGTGTTTTCTTGAATTCTCATGCACCACCAGGCTCCCGTTTGTTTTGACAGTAAACATGTGGTGCGTGTACTTCCTGTCACTGAGTGAGTCGATCAGCCTGCAGTTCAGAGAGAGTGTGATAGTCAATGCAGGCGGCCATGCAGAGCACGAACGCTTCACTTTTCGGTGTGCAGCCTGGCATGAGCTCACTTCCTTTCTACCTTACTGTATGATGGAGCCGTGGGTTACCATGGTGACTGTGGTTGCCAGTAGCAACACACGGTAAAGACAGTGTTGCTCGTTGCTTTTGGGCAGGAATGAATAAAAGGTATGCAATCCTTCGCCTGCTTTCAGAGATATCTTTCTTCTCCCATGCTTCTGTCAGCTGTCAGTGATCCGCTCATGATCTGAAACTGATCATAACATCTGCTCATGGTTTTCTCTCACAGGCGACCTCCACAAGTCCCCTCTCGTGCAAACCACTGGTGAAGGATCTCAGATGTCCTGCACTCCGACTTGTAGCCACACAGCGTCTGACTTTATAACCTCCTATGTCCACATTCTGGAACTGGATATATATTTTTTGTAAATATTTGTAAGGATTGAAATGATGCAGAATTATTTGTGTTGAGCTCGCCTCAGCTCACAACATGGCGTATAACCTCTGAACAGACAGGCATGTTATTAAGCTGGCACTTAGCGTTTATTATGTCTGTTACCTCTCAGTAAGTGCTGTTGAAATACTTGATATTTCTCTGACTTGATCAATTGGAGGGTGGATATGTCAACTTGGAAAAGGAAGAAAAATCTGTTCGACAAATTCAAGAAACAATCTTGAAACAAAGCTGGCATAAGATACTGTATCATTAAAATGTGTTAATGCACACTATGATCTATAAATATGACTCCTCTCTGGCCGCCACATTTGTCACTGTGATAAAAGTAGAAATGCTTTAATGAAGTAACTTTGGGAATTTAATCATTTGAACCCATCCAGTTTTGTTTCAGATATTACTCTGACAAATGCAGTTAATTAACCTTATACCAACTTTAACTTAATGTCAGGGGTGTTTTTGTTTAAAGTGTAAAGGTCAGACGTTAGGGGGAGCTACATCAGCAGAAAATAAGTGCTTCTTTGCCGATTTGGTCTCAAGTGGCTCAAAGGGAAAACACTACAAACGACAAGCAGTGATGTTTAATAGACTATTTTGTATAAAATATCCCAAATTACCAGTAAATATGGTGCTGTATGCTGTCATTAGATCATGATATGAGCACTAAGGTCTCATGATGTACCTGCACAATATGCAATTCCTAACAGAACACATTTAAAAAAATATTACTCTGTTACTATTTTATTTATTTATCAAAGACAACTCACAACAAACCATGTATTTCCTGTGTAAAAAATGCATTTATTGATATCAATAATCCCCATGTAAACCTGAATTTTACTTATTCTATTGAAATGTGTATTAAAAGCTTGTTCTTATAAAACAAAACACAGCGGCTGTCTGAGCAGAATCGAAACGTCACATTCTGTTGACACAAACATACATCTCAGAAAAGGAAAGTTGGATCGTCTAGAAAAACAAACAGAGACACACAAACACACATCTACCAATCAGTATGTTCACACTGAATAATCCTGATACATGTCCGAACCGACATAAAAACATACCTATTACATATTCATCTGGAAGCGTACTGACACATTGTACATTATTGGCAATCACGCTTAAAATCATCTCAGCATGGACTCGAGCTGTAAAAAAAAAGAAGTCAGTAACATCTCTATGAAAACGGCTGTAACCAAGGAAACACCTCGTCAGACGGACATATCTCTAAAATAAAGGAGAGATCGTAAACTGCCAGGAAGAACAAATACACCAACAACACTATTGCACATTGTTATCCCTTGTACACCAGCAGACCAAGAGCTCTGTTGATCACTTGTAGAGTTGTGTCATTTAAAGGGCCCATGTCATGGCCATTTCCATTATTGAGGTCTACTATAATAGATTTATATTGTGCAATTTTCCAAACTCACATTGGTTTCGCATACAGCATCTCTGTAAACTACGTGTATTCACTGAATTTCACTCTCTGCCTTTAACGGCTCGTTGTAGCTCCAATAGCTCCAGCCCCCACCCTCCCTGTGAGCACAGTGTGCTCTGATTGGTCGGGACGTTGTGAATCGTGCTGAGCTCCGTGGAGGTGTTGTTTCCTTGTTAGCGATACACAGCCAAACACAGCCAAACTCATCCTGAGCACACACAAAGTCACAGCCGAAGTAAAAACAATAAGTGTGGCTTGATATTGAGTAAGAAAAAGGTTGATAAATGCTGTGAGAATGGGTCTGCAGAGAGAATTTCGCCGCGATCCCAACTGTCTGTTATCAGCCTGCAGCCAGGGAGGAGAAATCAGCTGAGCTGCCTGCTCCCTGCACACAGATGTGTGTGTGAGGAAGTCCGTGGATTGGTCAATTTGGACCAATCAGCGGGGGCTTAACGTAACGGCTCCGCGAACGTAACGTAACGGCTCCACGGATTGGTCCATTTCGTTCCGGGTACCGCTTGACATCACCCGGAATGGAAATGGAAGAATCAAATGGACAATGACGTATCTCCAACGAGGCGTTTTGGGGAGGTATTTTCTGTGTTAGAGTTTTACTCGCTACAGGGTGTACTTTGAGGGTTTGTGACTCTGCACACCGTTTACATGCATAAAAACCTTCATAACACACAAGGGGACGGGTAATAACCGGAAAAGCATGACATGGGCCCTTTAACATACCTTTAACCTTTAGCAAAGATTATCACCTTTAAAAAAAGATTCCAAAAACCTTTAACCAGTTTCAGAAGCATAGGACAGCATGCACCGCAAACAGCTGTGTACTGTAGGCTGTGCCTTTTCAAATGTATTTCCTCATTGGTTTGTGGAATCATTTGACATTAAAGGCACTACATTAAATTAAAACAATCAACTTCCTCCTCTGGTTAACCTTCATGATCTGATAACATTGAATTATTGCTCCAAAACTGATATAAAAACAAGATTTGTATCGATGTTGAATGCGGCCCCCTCGTGTAGACCAAATGAAACACAGTATATTGGACAGTCTGAACGTCTTGTATTGGATTGTCCTCTTTCATAGGACTCTTTTCATCACTTCAAAATAATCCCTCTATGAGCAGACCCTCCGCTTATCGTCGAACAGTTTACGGACGGTGTAGACCTGGAAGTGGAGAAAATATATTGTTTAGATCCGATGCAAACTGAGAGACGATTCAAATATGAATTGCGTTGTGATGTGGAGGTGTACAGAGACACTGATGTGCATCTGTTCAATTAACACAATTATCCGTATTCGATAAAGACCAGACGTGGGTGTGTTTTATGGATATGTTAAAACTAGCAACTGTTGTATTTTCCAACCTTATATTCATTGCGCATTGTTGCTACTTTAGAGAATAACATTTATTTCAGGGACGTGCACAGACATTTGGAGGGGCTATTGCTCTAAACTGGAAAAAGTTGTTTTTAATGTAAAAGGTTCATAAAATAAAAACACAACACTGTCATTGCAAGTGACACTCAGTTGACTTTTATGTCCAACTGCTAAATTCGTCATTCAGGCACATTTTTTGTTTTGCGGTCCATATCTCATTAAAATATCTAATGTTAGTAACTATTAAAGAAAACATGGGGACAATCCTGTTTTAATGTAGTTTGACCATTGTAACTGCTGTGCAGACATACTGATAAAATAGGGCTTCTAACTAATTACCTTAAATAAACTCACTAATTAATTAAACCAGTTCAATACGCATTATTCTTATTATTCTTTATAAGCGCAGAAACGGTAAGGAATCTAATTACTTATTTATTTAGTATTCCATAACTTAATAACAGAGATGGTCAAACTAAAGTGCTAGACATGGCAGAAATCCTACAATAAAGCGGGACAGTGAAGTGTCCGTGAGAGGGCGATCAAGAAAAGAGAGAGAGCGGCCCCGTTGAGGGAGTTTACGGAGCAGATGAAAAGACACAGAAAGACAGAAGCACAATAACAAGTATATTTGTGTGGGCTTATCATGTTGATTCGGCCACAATAGAAAAAAGAAAAAAAACTCTCGCTCTCTCCAGAGGGGCAGGTCAGACAAAAATGGCAAACGGGCTGTTGCCCGGGCAACAATAGCCCGTACCTGTGAACGTCCCTGATTTATTTTATATTGACATCCTTATATATTAAATACATTCCAACACCCTAATACTCTTTTATTTATTCATTGTTTTATCAGGAAACTGTATTTCACATTAAACCTATGGCTGTAGAACAATTTAAAGAAGAAGAATATATTATAAATATAAGAAATATTTAATATTTTTAAATTTTTAGAATCGGTTTTATAAAATTGAGGAGATGAACACATGCAGCTAAAAGCTACAGATTGTAAGCTACATTTTGTTGCAGCCTGCTGAACAGGAAGTTTGATCTTGTCTTGCCACAATGACACGTGTAGATCTGAAGAAAAAGCTGATGCACAGACATCGTAATCATGTTTTTATCTTCCCCTAAACTAACAATATCAGGTAGAAGACAATCATTTATTTCGTTTTCCAGATCCGGCTACATCCCTAGTAGTTTATCAGCCCTCCATTTACCTGGGTAAGTGCCACACACAGCATCACCAGCACACTGGCGCAGGACCAGAAGGAGACCCTCCACAGGTTGTCCTCCAGGAGGTTTCGGTCCCGTGCCTCGAAAGCCCGCAACACCGTCTGCATCTGCCGGCTGCGCTCCAAGCGTTTGTGCAGAGAGTCCATGGACTCCTGGGGACATTTGGAGATAAGTTTTAGCGGTTTTAAAAAAGTGGTTGCTGCCATGAGGTAGAAGAGACAGAGAAAATTAAAAAATGTAAAAAGTACACTGAATTTTTAATTATTGTTGACACATTCTAAGTGGTAAAAGTGGCTGTTAATGGTTGATCATAAAACTTTGACAGACATGTTTGTAGTCTGTGCTGGTTTTGGGTTGGGGCCTACCGTTCAGCCTGTCACCTGGCGAGTCACATTACTGGGTCATGTAACCATCACTGTGTCGCTCGCAGAGTAGCTAATGTTTCCAGCAGTGTTGGGAGTCACAGGTTGAAGCTGACGTTATTCTATATTTTCCATGTTGTCAGCAGATTTACGATAAACCAAATGTTTCAATACTTTCCCACTTCCCCAGGCCGTCTGTGTTGCTCAGCCACAAGCTCAATTAGTTCCTTACTGAAGACGAAACGGAGAAAACTGACCAGAAATGTGTTGTTTTCAAATAAAAGAGGCTAAACCATTTCATTAAAAAGCTGGTCGCTGTGTTTATAAGTAAACAATACCAAAACCAGGTTAAAAGGTGCATTTGGACGATGGACCTTTTACCCAGGGAAACAGTGTGGCTTACGTATGTCCTTTTGTGGCCATACATGTAACTGATCCAGTTGAGTGTTAGTTTTGATCTTTTTGACAATAACATATAATAATAATAACCTTTTATTTTGAAAAGCCAATATATATCTAGTCTTTTTTGGAGACAAGTAAAACAGGAGCAAGGGGATAGATCTTAACCTGAAGGAAGTTTTCCTACTATTTATATCCTGCTTATATTGTGTATTTTGTATTAACAGAAAATTGGACCTTCAATAGTGTTTTTATTTGGCAGACAGTTTATAGATTTTTTTATCTTCACGGTCATCTGTATATCTTTCGGACTCTCTAATGCTGGTTTATTTCTATTTTGGGATGTTTCTATTTTTAAATTGTTTATTTCTACTCTTATAATTTGTTATTATGTGCAATGCCTTGTTTTGTTGTATGCTGCTGCAACAAAACCAAATTCCCAAACTGGGATTAATAAAGTACATCTTAGCTTATTTTATCTTTATTAAAATGTGAAGAATCTGACCTCGGTTGCATCTGTTCAACAAAATTGTTACTATAGTCTCCTCTTATTCCCTGGACAGCTGAGGTTTATCTCAGGTCAAACTATATACCCTTTTCTGAATGCACTTCTAAAACCCAACCTAACATCTCACCCTGATGTCATCCAGCTTGTACTCCAGGAGACTTCCATCAGGCTCCTCCAACCCCGGCCACTCTTCATCTCCAGTCACATCTCCTGCTTGACCCTCGATGATGATCTCAAAGAACACCATCTTCTCTGAGAAGTGACTGAAGCTGTTGTCAAAGCAGATTTCGTAGTCTCCCTCCACCGTCGGCTCCACCCTGGAATACCAGGACACAAAGTAAAATGTTAAACAGACAGATCAGATGCCACGGAAATAATCATTTTTATAAGATCAAGAATTCAGGCCGATGTGAGGCAGCACTCACACGTGGACTCCGTCGGAGCGTCGAGACTCGAAGATGAGATGGACACCTTCTGGAGAGATGATGGTGAAGTCGACATCCATACCAGCACCTGATATTACCTGCATGTGCACACACCAACCAATACATACACACACTCAGTAATAATCTTGGTATACAGCTGTCATGACACACAGCTAGTGGCAGAAACAAGGCGTACCGGGCCAACAGGATGCTAAAACAAACATTTCCAGGAGAGATTAGGCGTGCCTTTCAAGAGAGTGTATTGTCGCCTCTTAGATTGGGACTCTCCCACTAAACACACTGACTAATGGGACTTTAAGACATGTTGCTGTGTACATATTCTTTTTTTAAGTGACCTTGGACAGCAGTATAGCTGCAATATTTAGAAGAAGTGTCAATTAGTAAGGTGATATAGTAAATATGCAACACATTGTAAAAAACGATTATTTCTGATGCAAAAAAGCCAGAAAATGCTGTTTCAGACTCTTAAATATTTAGATTTTCTGTTTTATCAATGTAATATCATAATAATCTGTATGTCTTCTGGGTTTAGACAAACACAGGGGATATTTAAAGACATCCCTTTGGATTTCTAGGAACTTGAATGGACATTTTGTACGCAGCAGTAGACTGGAGTAGAGCTGCAAGTAACACTTACTGTCATTGTTCGTTAATCTGTCTAGTATTTTCTTGATTATAATTAATTATTCACATTTGAGAAGCTAGAATCAGAACATTTTTTGTTTATTTAAAAAAAAAAACAGTTAATCTTTGCAGCTCAAGACAGGAGAGTTCATCATGAACACTTCAGCTGCTCATAAGTTATTAACTTTGATAATGGGGCATACTGTAAATCAACACTTTGAAATGACTTGCATAAGATTGTGCTGTTGAACTTTGGATAGCTAAAACTATTGCCTGATTAACAAAATCCATTTAATGTGATTTTATGTTGTTGTTTCTTAGCCGCTCTCTTCACACAAACTTCCTGTTTCTGGTTCCCTGGGCCAGGAGCTCCTACAGGATCAACCTGCTGGAGGATCAGAGGACACCGGGATCTGAAGCTGTCTCACATACGTGTACAGTTTATCATTTACACAGTGACTCATTCAGATTTACTACGAGCAATATGTGAAGGCTTCAAATATATAATCTCATTTCCTGTGTAGTTATCACTGATCATTTTTAAGTAAAGCCTTTGTGGTTGTCTCTTTCAGGAAGTACTTTTTATTGCAATCTTGCACAAAAGGTGCTAGATTCATGAAGTGTGATTTGACCTTAAGGCTTTACTTTTTTTCAGGAAATGATTTAGCTACAGTACAGCAGTTGTAACATGTGTCACGTTAACTTCATAGAGATTAATATAAGAAAACATTAGCGTGCAGCACCAGTGTTATGCTGGTTTATAGAGAATATGCAAATACAGTAGCAGCATGTCAGCTAGCTAAAGGAATGAGTAACGGTTAGCCTTCCAGCTGGTGTTCCTCTGAGGCTGCTATTAGCATTTTAGCTTTTCACAGGGGGCATGTAAATGTAAACACACTGAGTGCTGGTATGTCTGCTGGCCAAACACACACACAGTTACCTGATATTCGACCTCCATCGTCCCATTCTTTATTGCTGTCTGAAAGAAACACTCGGACTTTCCGGCTTGCAGCAGAAACGTCAACTCGCTGTCTAGGTTTTGTCCGAAACAGCTCACAGACCCTAAACACCACCCAAACACTACTGCGAGCACGAGTACTCGTCCTCCGCTGCCCTCTTTCCTCCGGAGAAGGTCCATGGTGAAGATAATCTCAAACACAGGGCTATCTAAATTCAGCCATCTCCTTCGCATCCCTCTTCCGCAGCAGAACTTTGCAATGTCCTGATTGGACGGAGGCCACAGGACGAGGACCATGCAGCCGACCAATCAGTGGGCGAAGAGTAGCAATCTTCCTCCAATCAGTGGGCGAAGAGTAGCAATCTTCCTCCAATCAGTGCATGGCTGAGGTCTTCACTCAGAGCTACTGTATGACCCCCTGCTGTCAAACCGTACCATGCTCCAGCACGGTGCCACTTTATTAAGCAATTATAAAAGCCTAATAATGGCTGCATTTAACCCTCCTATTGTCTTCGTTTCCCCCCCCTTACTTTGGTGTTCGCGGTCAAATTTGACCGGTCCTGTTTTAACTGCTATTACATTAACACAAAAACCATTAATCATCACCAAATTTCATTTAACACCCTTTCAAACTGTAAATATTGTATCAGACTACTGATATACATGAAAAACTGCAGTACATATACAAAGAATAGACAATGAACATGTACTGTGTGTGTGTGTGTGTGTGTGTGTGTGTGTGTGTGTGTGTGTGTGTGTGTGTGTGTGTGTGTGTGTGTGTGTGTGTGTGTGTGTGTGCGTGTGTGTGGGGGGGGGGGTGAGTGGGTGTTTGTGTGTGTGTATGTACAAAGTTGACTAAATCATCCAAAATTCAATGAAAGTGGTGATCAGTAATTTGATATGTTCAAATGTCTACTGTGAAGGATATCATAAAGCCTTAATGCAGTCGAATGTAAAACAAACAAGTTATGATTGATGAAAGTAGTAAATCGGTCAGATTTGACCCAAAGACAACAGGAGGGTTAATGAAAGATGAATTAACTTACTTAAATAATTGTCAGATAAGTTGCAACTTTTGTTTAGCAAGGTTGTAAGAAAAACCTTTGTCTGCTGCAAACAAAGACTGGAGATTCACTGTACAAAAATAATGAAAATAGTTGGATAAACTGGAGGGTGAACTTTATATAGTGTTTGTCTATTAAGTGGCATCATTGACATTTTCTGTTATATAACAGATATATATATATCTCCCTTAAAGAACACAATGTTTCTGCACCCATTTATATGATTTTTAACTGCAGTTTTGAAAAGGGTGCTGTCAGAAATGAAATGTTTATGAATGTATTTTTAATACATGATTACACGATAGCTTTCAATACACGGGAATTTTTTATTGTGGTTAGTTTGACATGATTGACTTCATTGACTCATATCAAATCACACGTCATAGTACCGTTCTTCTGTATAATGCATTGCCTAGTGATGAAGATGTGTGTCATTTGTACTGGTCAGTCGGGTAACCTGCCTTTATCATCTTCATTGTTAGTGAAAATGAGAACTAAAAGATCTTCTCATATCATTTAGATTCCCTATTTGTGACCTATGCGACCATTGTTTTCCCCAAGTTATGTGGGAAGTCTCTCCCTTGCTGACTCATTCACAGTTACCTACATACTAATCACTCACAATAACTTTTTCACAGCAGACATTTTAACTTCTTGTTGAAGGAAAAGAAAAGCTCTTAATTATAACAATATCATTTTCTCTGTTTCATTCAAGTGTCCAAGTAAGCCATGTCAGTAAAGCAGCTAATTGTTATACAGGGCAAAAATACAAAAAGATACTAAATAAACTGAAAAAAAGGGCCAGTAAAAGTAATACGAATATTTAGTTTTGTTTTTCATTTGTATTTACTATTTTATATTTAGTTTAGTTTAAACAATCAGTTACAGAAAAATACTTCTGGGGTTTCACTCATGTCCAGTCCATTCTTCCTTCCTTTCTATAACTGCAAAACCACAGCAGTCCACCACACATGGAGACTTCCGCCTGTCCTCCCAACGCTTTATCATCACTGAACACAGTGTCTGCATGTGTCTGCATGTGTCTGCATGTGTCTGCGTGTGTGTGTGTGTGTGTGTGTGTGTGTGTGTGTGTGTGTGTGTGTGTGTGTGTGTGTGTGTGTGTGTGTGTGTGTGTGTGTGTGTGTGGTGTGTGTGTGTGTGTGTGTGTGTGTGCGGGGGGGGTTGTGGCTTAGTAACATTGATGTAGTGTGGTTTCAGCACGTTGAGTTTGTCAAGTCAAATAGCCCCCTCCCACGACAATGTACAAAATAGATTGATTTTCACACCGAACAAGCCGTGAATTATCCCCTTCAAACATCTTTAACATAATTGACACAGCATTTAAACAACAAAGAAATAAAATATATCAGTATTCTCATACAGCACGTACGAAGGAGATGTTTGATAAAGTGAGGGAAAAGAAAGTATGTTCTACATGTTTTAGAGGTATGTAAAGGAAATGACGGAATAAGCGGAAGAGCACAAATAAAATTAAAATAAAACTGATTGCCCACACATTACTCAGCTGTCCACATGCATACACTATAACGATATAAAAGAGTCTCAGGGAAGGGGGGAGAGCACAAGAATAACAAGTTAAGATCTCCTGAAAAAAACATGAAAAATAAAGTGTTACCACATGGGTCTTTGCACACTTTTAGAAATAAGGGTTCCAAAAGGGAACTTCGTAAAGGGCTGAGGTTCTACACAGAACCACTTGTTACTGAATAATCTTATTTTCAAGGGTTCTTTGTAAGAAAAGGGATATTTCTAAATTAACTTACTATCCTAACCCTGACTAGTACATGTGCAGTGTGTGCATTGCAGCTGTGTAGCTTTGTCTCAAATCCATGGCGGCTGCTGAGTGATAATCACCACTGCTGGCAATGATGTTAACGAGAGATAACTATGCTAGCTAGCTATCTGACAACATTATTGGTAGCGGTAGCAAATCATTATAGACTGTGCTCTATTAACCCAACAAATATAAACACGAGAAACATGTACTTGCGTAGTGGTGTGTTAACCTGCACAACTGCAATCTTAGCTTGTCCTGAACGTAGTTTTGTTGTGAAGACCACCTTAACCGAGACCAAGTCATTACTAAGACCGGAGTGCACACATGCACTGGCACTCACACACACACACACACACACACACACACACACACACACACACACACACACACACACACACACACACACACACACACACACACACACACACACACACACACACACACACACACACACACACACACACTCAGACTGAATAACAAACACTTTAGTGTACATATGCAAATATGCACTCTACCACTACTCACCAATAACCCGTGTCTGTATCAGCCGTGCACACACATACACTTCAATCTTCAATCTTTGTTGGAAGCATGGTTGTTAAAAGATCCTCCCAACCGACCCCCTAAAACTGAAACATGAGTTGTGTTATGTTGGGCCCCATGGTAGCCATGGCTGCATGCTAACATGTTACAGTGAGATCCACGTAATAGTTAAGAGTTACTTTTATTTGTGGTTCTTCATTCACCCCCAGAAGACATAAAGGTGATAAGTGAAGGATATTTGTATAGCCCCTGAGTTGGTTTCTAGACAAAACCCTTGGAATATAAAAGGGTTCCCTGAAGAACCCAATGGTTGGGTTCTTGTGAGGACCCTTGGAAGGGGGAAAGGCTCCCGATTGAATCCCCAGTGAAACCTGTTTATGTTGGTTTCTAGGAAGGTAGAACTCTCTGAAAGGCTTCCTGTTGACCCCTTTATCAAAGTGCAGCCAAAAAAGCCTTATATGGTAATAGTTATCACATCTTATTGATAAGTGTATATCAAAATCCTCTGTGCGTCCTCTGTACATCATAAGTCATCTTTAATCACCAGTTGCCAACAACAATACAACAAAAATTTGCTCAAAGACTCATCTGAGAAGTTTGAAAAAGCAAATAAGTGAGAAAGCATTAACCTGGCAGTCTTGCAGGAGGCTTTGTAAATGTCAGCTCATTGTATGGTGAGCTTCAACACGCAGATACATTAGACTGTGGGTGAGAAAAACTGTGGTAGCAGCAGTGGGGATAGCGGTCAAAGTACAGATGTGAAATTAGAAACTTTACTCCTCTGAGCTCAGCCTCCACATCAAAACCTGCTGTTTTAAAGTCAACTGATCAACTGTACCATCACACTGTATGGTTCAATAGTATACAACATGTTCCAAATGCAAGACTTAGCTGAAGAGAGCAAATTCTGCAAGTTTCTTAGAAACTTAACAGAAATAGCTACAGAGAGTAAGAGCAGCAAACCAAAAGTGTTAAAGAGCATATGACACGCAAGGCGAGAGAAATTGAAGAAAAGGAAGTGTCAGCTGAGAGACGATAACTTTATTTGAAGGGAGTGCCCCACGCACTTACACACTCTCTTTCTGTCTTTTTCTTCCCCGTGTCATCTTCATTTCCTCCTTACATGAGCTTGCTTGAAGAGCAATATTCTTGATAGTTGACAGCAGGCGAGCAAACACAGGGGAGAAAGCAGAGAAATCTATACTTGCAGTGGACAGAGGATTTCCCTCTTCTTAAAGGGTGAGACATCTATAAGCCAATTTAATATTATTGTTTGAAGAGTTTAATAAGGGGTTTTAGAGGAGGGTTTAAAAGTGTGTGGTGCTGCTGGATGGTTGACTAAGCTGAAGGGGAACATCTGGTGCACACTTTATACCAAGGTAATCTTCATTTAAAGTACTTCAACAGAATGAAAGAATATCACTTTTTTTTTATTATTGATGTGTTGCAACGTACTTCTTGTGTAAGAACACAAGAAGTAAGTTTCAACACATCAATAATTCAAAAAAAAAGTAGTAAGGCTATGTAGAAATCACAGTTCCCATAAGCTGGCTGCATCGTGTCTACTAACTGTAACTCCATGTCTGTTTTGGTCTATTTTCAGTACTTATCGTCTCTCTGCCTTTCTGTTCCCAGTTAAACTAACCCTTACCCTGTCTCTTTTAGGATCCCTTCCTCACCACAACGTTTTAACCTTAAGCCCTAACGTCCCAGCTGGAGTGTGATCTGGTGGGATGGCAGAGGGCGATGTGGATCCGTACCCTCAGGTGTTTGTGATTGACAGCCAAGCCAACTACGTCTCCATGCCTGGCGAGAAGAGGACACGTTGGGTGAGATCAGGACAAAAGTTTATTCTCCTGCTGGTAGGACTCGCCCTGTTGGGACTTGTTGTCGAGGGGTGTTTTATCTACAGTCTATACAAAAAAACCGAGGTGAGATTGATCTCTTTTTTTATGTCTGTGTGGGTGAAGGGAGAGTCCAGAGTCTTGGAGCTTTGGGCTCTTGGAAAGTCCTATTGTTTAGAATTTCCCTCTTTTCCTTTACGTCATAACCAGACACACACTGTAGTGGATTAACACGTGTGTGTGAGCTGTCATTATTTCGCCTTTTAATTTACTGGTCTGTAATGACAAATCTGTCAGATGGACTTGTTCTCTAGTTCTACTTCCCTTTTTTCTCTCTTAAGTGCAAACCAACAATATTGCTTCACTTCTCTAAACAGTTTCATAATGATACTTATTACACACCTGCCTATATTATAGCGCACTTGTGCATGTTATCTAATATGCACTACAGTTTACAAATCTAACCTTTAAGACTGTACAATGTCAAAACTTAGATACCCAAGACCAAAAAATTGCAGGTGACATTTTGCCTCTTTATCATGTTGTATTAAAATGGTATTCAAATACTCTAGCATTAACAAAACACAAAACTGGTCAAGTTACATTTATACATGTATATATTACATTTAATTAAATAAAAAACAACCTCAATGTTTTATATACTATATATTTTTTTGTGGAAATATGCCTTTTGTTGTCTGTACATTTCTATTAGTTTCTTTGTTGCAAGACACTTCCTGTTCTTACACGCTTTTGAACTTTTGACATCTGAAAAACACACACTGATTTTGTTACACATTCTATATTTCTCAACCCCTCTTCTTCCCACCTTTTTCTGTTTCAGGGTGGCACCATATTGAGCCAAGTGGGTTCCAAAGGTAATGAGTTATTCTCTGTTCTGTGATGATGATGAGCCACAAATATGGGATGTGTGATTTACTCTAGCCCATGCAAACCTCACGTGTCAATTCAGACATAAGGTTTTTCGACATTGTTTGATTGATCTGAACATGCGTTATCAAACAGATTCCAATGAGATACGACGACATCTGGAAGACATCCAACAGAGACCCTTTGCTCAGCTTATAGGTAGGAACCCTCTGAACACTCAAACCAGGTGAATCTTTTTATTTCAGCTATTCTCCTTAATTGTCTTTGATCATAACAACTATTTTGTATTTCCTTTTTCATCTTAACGCCAGGTTCAGCCACTTATATCGGAGAGAACAATGAGGTGCAGTGGGAAGATAAAAATGGCGAAACTGTAACCCACAACATGGGCTTTGAAAAAGGCCGGTTGATGGTCAAGGAGGAAGGCTACTACTACATTTACTCTAAAGTGACATTAAATGTCGCAGAGGAGTGTATGCTTATCCAGCACAAGTTCATGAAAGCCACCAGTGCCTACGGCAAGGATATTGAACTTTTGAAATCCAAAAGGTAAGTCAGTGTGCCTCTCTTCCCTCCCTCTGATGCTGCACATGTGCTTACAATTGCCTTCTTGGGTTCAACCAGTGTGTACCTTTGCTGTGTCTTTGAAGTTAAACAAAGGCAAAAACATCTTTTATATGAAGAGGTTCATTTTCTAAGATTTTGGGCCATTTTGCTTCAGTAACATGTCTTCTTCCATAGTGGAAAGAAAACGTCGAAAATACAATTGATTATTTTTCTAAATATGTCAATTTGCGTCTGGGGTTGACTTGAATATACTAAAAGTTTGCATTAGATAATGCCAAATTAGCATATTAAACTAAATGAAAAAATGCCATTTCAGAAATCTGCATTAAAGGTGGGGTAGGTAAGTTTGAGAAACCGGCTCGAGATACACTTTTTGTTATATTCCATGGAATGCTCTTAACATCCCGATAGCAATGAATATCTTAAGTGCTTTGACAAAAAATCCATAAAAAAATGTCATCTGTGGAAGCCGTAGTACTGTAAAAAGTACGACCAATCATTTTAGCCGGCCCGGCTAAAATAACTGGATGGCCTACCTGCCTGTCAGCCTTCCATCTGTGCACAAACTTATCTCGTGCCCTCATTGGTCATGTGCGCGTTCGTGTGTGTTGGAGGAGGGGCTCTACTGTATAAGGAAGTGGCAGATTTTCTCCGGTTGTGTATTTTCAAATTCTAGCGATCTCGAGCTGGTTTCTCAAACTTACCTACCCTACCTGGTTGAGTTTCATGATAGCATATATTTCTTACATTACAATTACCCCACTCACTGGTAGTGTCTTCAAAGATTTATGGAAATACACAAAACATCTAGAAAACCTTTAAAGGCTATTATCTCTACATAACAAAAAGGCCGGCCTGCATGCACCATCTTTTCAGTTGAATTCCTATCTATTTTATGAAGTTTTTTATAGAGGGGTTTGTTGAAATATAATTTACAGACTGATTTAGAGAAAATATTATTCTCAAAGAACATCTTTTTGGCTGTTGATCATGATTTCTGTTTTATGGAAATGCATTCTCCTTTGACTCTAAAATCTAAAATGAAACAAGAATTTAAACCTGGCTTCATCCAATGTTTAGATATCTGTCCCAGAAATTGTTCACATTAGCCCCTGTTTAATTGGATAATGCCTAATATGCATACCTAAACATAACATTCCAGAAAACGTATTTGTGAGATGTTGCTGTAATATAAGTAAATAAGTGCTGGTTTTATCATGTTGCTTTATGTTTGTCTTCTGCAGTTACCGCTGCTTCAAACCTACACGCTCCCCGATTACTCACAAGGAGGATATCCGGAACAGTTTTCTGGCTGGGATCTTTTACCTGCAGAGCGGGAATACAATTTTCGTCACATTGGAAAATAGCCCTAGGATGTCTCCGAAACGTACTGAATATCTCATGGGGGCATTTATGATATATAAAGGTGGAACGCTGCAGGAATAATATCCTCTGTCCCACTTTGTGAACAGATTCTATGTCTCTGTGTTATGAACGTACACCATATGTTGTGGTGAATGTTATGTATCTAATATATAGGCCTATATAATCTAAATTATACTATATGTAATTGAATCCCTTTTGAAACAGCAACTAATGGTTTTGAGATCATAAAAAAGTATCTGACATTCAGGTAATATAATCCTACTTCTTGATTTGTTGCATTTTTTGTTTTTTGTTAATAAAATGCATTCATTCATTCAGGTTGTATCAGTTACTGATTAGGTTTTATGTTAGACAGATCAATGAGAAAAAACGTTTTAATAGTTATTTGTGCGGTAAAGAATAGAATAGATTTTATTTTATGCAACCTAATAGCTTGAGCAACGTGAGACAAATCACGCAGTTGCAGATTTATAGATGCAGAACACACACAGCGCCTGTATGAGTGAGGAGCAGGATGTGGTTGGGTAAGGATGCTCTGAGGAGAGGATGGAGGGGAAGGGTGGCTAAGGTGCAGAGGTTGATGTGGCTGACTCAGCTCTTCTCACACTGTGCAGGGGAAAGTTTTGCAGACATTGCAGCAGTGTCAGATAGAAAAAAAGACATATGGACGTACAGAAAAGTTAAGTTAAGGAGTGTTCAGCAACCAATGAAGAAATTCCACCAAGGAACCAGGGTGTAAAGAATATTCGGGATTGTGGGAAACAGTATTTCGATCTATCTGTCTGTACACACAAACTGGAAGATTGACATTAAAGTTGACTTTGACTTTGACTATGCAAGATGCAAAGTGTTACAAACAGTAACAATGAATGATGACACAGGAAACCATGCTGACAGGTAGACAAATGTATGTGAGTGGAAAGACTGACCTCAGAAGCATCTGAGATATTTGGGTCACTTCCTGCTCAAAGATGCAGATGCAAAGATATTGTGTATCTGAGTGAAGTCAATACACAACAGTATAATACTTGTGCTGCGTGAGCATACAATCTATTTTCCATTGCTTGGAGTATAATTTCTCACGTGCTGTACTTATGTCAAATGTTGAGGTACTTGTAATTTACTTCATTGTTTCTGTCTTTGCCTTTCTTCATACCTCTACCCTAGTTCAGAAAAAACATTGTAAGTTTTCTTCTATTAGATTAATTTGACGATTGTAGTTATTACTAACATTGAAGATTACAATTTTGCACATTGGATATATTAAAGGTGGGGTAGGTAAGTTTGAGAAACCGGCTCAAGATACACTTTTTGTTATATTCCATGGAATGCTCTTAACATCCCGATAGCAATGAATATCTTAAGTAAATCACAAATAAACCACAACTTTGGGCAGCAGTAGCTCAGTCTGTAGGGCACCGAAGGGATGCTGGTTCAAGTCTCGATTTGAACAAATACATAGTGTGGACTGATAGCTGGAGAGGAGTCAGTTCACCTCCTTGAGCAAGGCACCAAACCCCCAACTGCTGTAGGGTTGTAGGCATGTGTTCATGTGTGTATTTTGACCTATACGTGTGTAATATATACTAACAGAGAGAAGAACTGAATTTACCCTTGCAGATTTGTAAAGTATTTCTTTCTTTTAACTTGGCCTCCCATCTGGTCACCTCCACTCGCCGCTGAGACCGCATTATTATGGTCCTTCATAGCATATACTGGCTCCCAGTTAAATACAGAATCAACTTCAAATACTACGGACCACCTAAACTACCTGGCTCCTTCCTCCTCCACCCACCCGCTGGCTCAGGTCTGGAGGTGCAAACACCCTAAAGACCACCAGGGCTAAGCTTCGGTCCTGGGGTAACAGGGCCTTCTCTGTTGCCAGACAGTCCATAAACCCTTCTGTAAACAAGCCCTCAAACCCCACTTATTCAAACTTGCTTTTTCCATTAAACCTCTTCTCCCAACAACATATCTCTGCCAGCTCTGATCACTTTGCTCTATAGGTTCTTTGTATTTTCTCTAAACTAATCTTGTTTTTTCTCTAATGTATGTTTTTGTTGTATGGAATATTTTTGTAAACTGACTTTCAGTATTAAGAGAAATATAATTATTATCAACCTAATGGATGCACATTTCAAAATTCTCTCTCTTTAGTGCTCATTTGGACTTTACCAGCTCCTGAAAATAAATGTTGGGTCTTAAGATGCTTAATGCTCTGCAATGCTCACCATCTTGTTGCTAGGAGCTAACTATAAAGCTTGAAAGCAGAGCTGCAGATTTTAATACAAATCATTTAGCGCAATGGTGTTGCCAAAGATTGACAGGGTTTGCACACATCGTTTTGTGGACATTTCAGTATTTAATTTTGAAAATACAATATTGATTATAACCACTTCAAGTAAAGGATATACATTCATCTTGAGCCACAGATGTGCAGCTTTGAACACAAGCATTGCATTTTCCTTAGTTTAGTCTGTGCTCCTCAGTTTGGGAATCACTTTTATGAGTGAGATGCCATAAAGAAATGAATGGAGGAGAAAAAGCACAAAGTTCACAAGTAGTAGCTATTGAGAAGTAATATTTTATTTTAGACGCAATAATTGGAGCATGCCCTTTGCTTCTTGTGTGAGCGTGACTTATACATCATAATAGCGGGGAATATTTGTTACATCCTGTGTCAATATCAGACAGGAGGTGTAATTTAGGTTTGTTGACTGCCCTATATACAGTAGAGGTTTTTTTCAAACCACACTGTTTGGTAAATAAACAGGAAGTGATGTACATAGTGATGTACATAGTGATGTTCCAGTTCCCGGCATAGGCTGCGTAACAGTAGGGAACTTTCCCTTACACAGGAACGTTTCATTTATTCTGCTTGAAACGTTGACGCAATCACTTTCACACTGCTTTTTATTTCAGGACAAAATATCCAAGTTTAATATGGATACATTGAAATAAATTCAACAATGTGCAAATTGTCCATAGGACTTACATGTCTTTCAAAAACAAAACATTTTCTTATTCATGAGTACACATATTAAAGATACTTTAGTAATGTGGTCATGATTTCATCACAGAGACACTTCTCATAGGACCTCCACTTAACCTCACTAGATCTAAATGAGATCCCTGAGGAGCTTGTTGGGGTTTCCGAGCAGAATTATCATCTTATATTTTATTATAACACTCAACTTTATGCGCTGAGTCATTTATATATGAAAAAAACAGAGCAAAACAGAAGTAATATAACCCAATATAGGCTTATTAAACGAGCAGTGTATTGTACATTGACACTAATGTAGTGATATCTACTTCATAATACATTTCTATTAAAACAAAAAGTATAAATATAGATACATAAATAGTTTCATCATCAAATAAATATATCATATACATATTTATACAAAATGAGGCAATTGTGTTTTCCAGATGCAGTTTGCATAAAAAAATGCAACTTCTCCTTAAAATCCTGCTTAGCTTCATGGCCTTAGTTTGCAATAAATCTGGATAAAGCTTTAAAATGAGCACCGGAGCAGGCCCATTTTCATTTAGTTGGACACTTAGAAAACACAGTTATGACCCAAAGGTCACACACGTGCAGGCAGATCAGCGTCTACATTAGTCCACGAGGAACATCCCAAGTCCTGAGGTGTTCAGCTCCAGCTTCCAGTACTCCAGTCCCTCCTTTGGTACGGTCATCTGAGTGAACAGTTTCTGCCCGTCCAATCGGCTCACTGTCCAGCACTTCCTGCTTACAGACGTTGTATCCGCCAGATCCGGAAGCTCCACCTCGCAGGTGAGTTTATCGCCCAACCTCACACTGAGGAGTCCCGCGCTACATCGGTAGGTGCAGGTGAGGTTGAGATTGATGTATATGAAGTAGTTCCCCACCTGTTTGGCCTTCAACGAATGCGTATCTTCCTCAAACTGGAAGTTGCTTCCCACGGACAGCCCAGCACCATATTTGATTTGAGACAATTCCATGGTGGAGTTCTGCAGCTTGCCTATAGGAAGAGACAAATACAACTCATTTAGATGATGTTTACAAAGGGCAACAACAGGCTTCATAACACTGTAGCATTATTTTCTGGTGTTTTTTTTAGTAAAGACTGACATGATTTGGAAAAGCTAAGAAATCATCTGTGAAATCTTTATAGTGTGATTTAGTGATGCAAACGATATTTAAAGTTTGGATATTACACTGGCATGAAGAGGAGAAAATGTATTTAGGATATGGCTTTCATTTAATAATGAATCATCATTAGCATGCCTACTCAGAATTTTTTTTGTATGATTGTGTGAATCTGTTCCTTATATGTACGAGACATTAAATATATTTAACTTACTTGTCTTGGCTTCCAGATAGGCAAAGTTCTGCATCTGTTGACAAAATAAAAATAAATATGGATTAAAATGTGCATAGGACAAGTCAAACTCCAAAAAAGAAGGAAACAATAGGTAACTTTTACATTTCATGAGCAGAAGTCTTTACCTTGTATGCTGAGCCAGGTGTGTCTCGTGTCAGCCTTGACGTCCTGGGATCAGATGAAGGACGCTGGGTCTCCAGCTCGGACCGCAGCTCCATCACCACCATCACTCCGCCGGCGGCCAGAGCTACCACCGCCACAAGTAGAAAAATGGTGGACACGACGAGGAAAACGTCCAGGCAGCTTCCACGGCGGCGGCCGCTCTTCTGAAGAGACTCAACGTCCATTGCTTTATCTTGGTGTCTCTTTAGTCTGTTGTAGGATGCTTGAGCTTCAGGGTCCACAGCGTCCGGTTAACTTAGAGAATAAAAGGGTCCAGGGGCTCGATGGTTTACTGCCAAAAAGATAGTCCTCTTGATATCCAGAGTTCACTCGGCGTCTTGATGTGATAGCTGTGAGCATGCTTTTTATACTGGACTCATAAACTCATGTGCAGTTTCATACACAGAGGAAAAACGCGGAAGTCATGGGTTTCCCTCTCGGCTCATCACACACACGCCCCCTCCTGAGCAGCGTGTAGTTGAAGTGAGAAAACGAGACTTTCCGCGGCTCTCCCTGATTGAGCAAGGGCTGCCCAGAGGTAGCGCGCGCGGTGGAAAACGAAAGGGAAGGAAACCTGCGCAGCCTCCAGTCTCACTACACATACTCTACATTCCGACACAGTCAAACACATGCTTTCACTCTCAACGTTCAACCTCACAGCGCTGGCGAAAGTGGCACAATAGAGATAATGCAAACATAATGGGAATTTGGCCTTGAAAGCCTAAATGGAAAAGTATTTGGCCTTTGGGGCAAAGGGAATGGTGCGTGTGTGAAATGCAATGAGAGGTTTGGGTTTTCCTCGAGTGTGTATTTCGTCAGCGAATGGAAACTCAAACTGGTATTACTGCAGGTGTGTTTACCTTGCGTAATTGTGGGCCCTACTCTGTGTGTGTGTGTGTGTGTGTGTGTGTGTGTGTGTGTGAGTTGCATCACCAAGCTAAGAAAAGCTCACAGCGTCACACCTCCATGTTTGTATACCTGGCGTAATTTTGGCAAAACCACAGTGGGTGTGTGTCTGTGTGTGTGTGTGTGTGCGTGTTTGTATGTGTGTGTGTGTGTGTGTGTGTGTGTGTGTGTGTGTGTGTGTGTGTGTGTGTGTGTGTGTGTGTGTGTGTGTGTGTGTGTGTGTGTGTGTGTGTGTTTCTGGAAACATTATAGGAGTTACTAAACCACTCTACATTTTATGAAAGTGTTGATCAACAACTGTATATGTTCAAGGCCTTGAGGCAATCAAATGTAAAACAGAATATTTATGATCGATGAAACACAACAGGATGGTGAATAAATTGTACCATGGAAGGATAAGCTTAAACTTTTTTAATTTTCTTCTGAAGAAAGACTTACTTTGAAAACAGTTGAAAGTATGTTAACAAGTTCATTTGCTCGTCATTTGAGTTTTAAGCGATTCTGTATCTCTTCATTATGTCTAGGTACAGTTAGACACAGCTCCGTGACTCTTGCTAATACATTCATAAATATGTTATGTTAATTATAAGCTGAAAAAATACACCTGAATCAGCTGAAGCTGATCACAGGTAGTGGAGAAGTAGAGCTTATCTCTGATCCCTACCCATGTTTGGGTACTTACTGTAAGTGTATACTTTTATTCTACTTTTACATTTTGAACTACTTATACTTATATTTCCGTCACACATTTATATATGTGCAGTAAAAATAATCCTATTTTTATATAATTATTATTAGTAGTAGTATAGGTTCTATTGTATATGGTTGTTGTTTACTTGTGTTTTTCTTCTCTTAAAGGTGGGGTATGTAATTTATTTCAGAAACACTTTTTGTTATATTCCATGGAATGCTCTTAACATCCCGATAGCAAGGAATATATGAAATGCTTTGACAATAAATACATAAAAAATGTTCATCTGTGGAAGCCGTAGTACTGTAAAAAGCACAACCAATAATTTTAGCCGGCCCGGCTAAAATAACTGGATGGCCTACCTGCCTGTCAGCCTTCCATCTGTGCACAAACTTATCTCGTGCCCTCATTGGGCATGTGCGCGTTTGTGTGTGTTGGAGGAGGGGCTCTGTAAGGAAGTGGCAGATTTTTTCCGGCTGTGTATTTTCAAATTCTAGCGCACTCGAGCCGGTTTCTCAAACTTACCTACCCCACCTTTAAGCATGTATTTTTTTCTATATGCAATCAAATTTCCCTTCTGGGATACATCTATGACAGTGTGTACAGGGGATCAAACTAGCGTATTGTGTCACCTTTTACTAAACAAAGACAAGTTCAAATGAATGCTGTTGGTAATGTAGTCCTTAAAGGTGGGGTAGGTCATTTTGGAGAAACCAGCTCGAGTGCGCTAGAATTTGAAAATACACAGCCGGAAAAGATCTGCCACTTCCTTACAGAGCCCCTCCTCCAACACACACGAACGCGCACATGACCAATGAGGGCACGAGATAAGATGGGGCACAGATGGAAGGCTGACAGGCAGGTAGGCCATCCAGTTATTTTAGCCGGGCCGGCTCAGATGATTGGTCGTGCTTTTTACAGTACTACGGCTTCCACAGATGAATTTTTTTAATGTATTTATTGTCAAAGCACTTAAGATATTCATTGCTATCGGAATGTTAAGAGCATTCCATGGAATATAACAAAAAGTGTATCTCGAGCCGGTTTCTCAAACTTACCTACCCCACCTTTAATATAACATTGCCTATAATACTGCATATCCCGGTTCGTCCCTCATAACATCAATCACCATTGTTTAAGTTCAGTTGAATTGAAATTGAACTCTGAATAGAGTTTTTTATTTTGAGATGACCTAAGGCAGGGGTGGGGAACCTTTTTCCTCTCAAGGGCCATTTCAATTTTTACAACATCCTCCGAGGGCAGTACAAATTATTGAACTCAACCTCTGCTTAAAAAAACTAAAATCACAGCCCATTCATTTCGCCTTTCTTTCATGCTGTGCAAAGAAAAAAGCAACCTCTTATTCGGATATTTTACCATGACTTGCGCATGGATGCATGTGCACGGTTTTGGCATGACCACCAAAACAGAAAGATATGGACAGAAGTGTGCAAATGTATTTTGTATCCTATCCTTGTGAACATGATTTAAAGTGGACCTATCATGCTATTTTTAGGCAATAGCATAGGTCTCAGATATATACAAATATATAAAAAACATGTCTATGAAGTGTTTTGCTCAAAATACCAAACAAATCACCCATTCTAGCCATGCCGCTGATTTTGGGTATAAAGCTTTAAAAAAAATGTGATAAAAAAAAAGGAGGGGTCTGAGCTCATGCGGGACCCGGCAGCTACTGTCTAAACTAAATACTGCCGTGATGAAACGCCATATCATGGATTATCAAGGATTATTTCTGAAACAGTATGGAGCTCAAAGGCTTTCTCTCTTGCAGGTTTTACCACAAGGTGAGTTCCTTTTTATTTTCCTGCTTCTTCACACACATGCTCTATCCAGTACAGGTTAGCTCTGAGTGTTAGCGATGCTAATGTAAACATGCACCGACCATATTACGTCCAAAACAGACGGGCAATGTTTCTGATAGCAACGTTTCTGATAGGGCCGTGGGTGTAAAGCCAGCCTACATTTCCGATATTACATCATATCGGACGCAAATCTGGATCAGCTCCGTTGTAGCCCCGTTTTTAGAGATTTGGGTACGGAGGAAAAGAGAGAGGGTTTTATTTTCTGATGCACTTTGAGAGCAAAATTAAGAGATTTATGAATACATCTCTCAACATCCATATGAAACAGAACTCTAAGCAGATTTTCTTTTTCTTTATGGATATTTTACAAATCACTCCCCTTTTAAACTGTATTCTTGTTTATTAATAACAATTTTCTTTTACTGTCATATAGTATTTAATACCTGTTTTTCATTTATTCTCTTCTTTTTTTATAACTATAATGATCATATCAAGGTGTGCCTTAACCTCACTGAGCTGAGGTTATTTGAGCCTCTCAGTCTGTCAGGGGAGAGCTCTCTTCCACCTGGTTGTAGAAAAAGCTCCTTATATTCGTTAGCATAGCTAGCTAACCAGATGCTAATAACAACAATCCCTGGTACCGCTCTCTCTCTCTCGCTCGCTCAAACAAAATGCGCTCATGCCACACACACAGAGCCGAGCTTGAATGACACACAAAGAAGTACTAGTACTCAGGTTATAATTAGATTAAAAAAGTGCACTGTAAATAATATTTGATTGTTAGTTTGAACTACACTATAAAGGTTAGGTTAAATAAAAAAAAGGGTGTATCCCTTGTTATCAAGTTAATCTATATGTTCCTTATAGATGAATCTCTATTCCCCTGATGTGGTTTGGCAAGAACAACCACAACTAGCCCATGGTGAAGAGTACTTCTGCAGTTA